ACATGCTGCGGGACGGATTTAATCTGGCTTTCACTGACGAGAGGTTAATCTCCAGCGTTTAAGTTAGTCGGTGAATCCTTCATCTACGCTCGCACAATTTGTCCTCACCTACATTCAGACGCTGGCGGCTAAACCCACCTGCAAATCAGCACAGGTTATGCAACAGGAGGGTTTCAGTCTGTACAGCTTAAATAGACAATAGAAAATATTAGTTTAATGTGCTAAGCTGCAATACATAAAAATGTATTGTTTTGCTTGGAGAAGACACCATAAAAGTTTTTGTTTTCTTTAACACCTGCAGCAAAAGTAATGAATTTATTAGTCAATGATATGATAGGTCAGTTTTACAGTCTATAAATGTAAGTGTAAATGTAAATCTGTAAGATCTTAAAAAGACATTGTTTTTCCCAAGGTTTTAAAAAAAAATCTTGAATAGAAAATATGAACAAACTTTTTGGTATAAGAACTGATCTGAGTGGGTTGCTTTTTCAGCTGATAACATGTTTTAAAGTCTCGATTTAAGTTGAGGGTTTATTGATGACAGAATTAGTCAACTGTTATTTCAATATTTGATAAATCACCATTAAGCTGGTTAATTGTTTCAGCCTGCTTTTTTGTTTTAATTTAAAAGTCATTTTGAGTTTTGACAAATATAAAAAAATTATGATACACACTGTTGGAAATAAGTATTTAATCTTTTAAGAAAAAAAAAATTAACAATGTGAAAATATGATATAATAAAATTCAATCCAATTCAGTTTCTTTATATTGTGCCAATTCCCAACACATTTAATCTCAAGGCAATTCATAGAGAAAATTCAACCAGATCATACAGTCAAACTGATTCAAAGTTTTCTATCTAAGGAAAACCAACTGAATGCATTGTCTCATTGACTCAAAGGCAATCCCTCACACTAAGCATGCTTGTAGTGACAGTGGAGAGGAAAAGCTCCCTTTTAACAGGAAGAAACCTCCAGCAGAACCAGGCAAAATTCCCTCATTATATAAAATCTAGATATATCACTTAAATAAGAACTGTCTGAAAACATGAAATATGTGAGAAGCTCTTTAAAACAACACCTGTCCCTAAATAAATTTGAGAACAACCAAGAAGAAATGTCATGAACATCCACCAGCAGCAAAAGTTACAACAGCATCCCTAACTGTTTAGGGTTCCAGCCAAAAGTGGAAAAGTACCTTGTTGTACCTTAATAAAATACATAGAAAAAAACACCTCATGGCTCACACTGAAAGATAAAAAATGTCTCAGAAAAAAACAGGAGAATATTTTAACTAAAGAGATAAAAGCTTGTGTGTCTGAAATACTTTGTGCCATGCCATAATGTTCCCATTCCTCCCTTGGTAACGAACCCTGTAAGTAACAGCTCTAAAACAGAATTTTATTCTCAAAGATTGAATGTATATTTAGCACTACTAGAGCAGCTTCTGGGTGTATATATTCCCTAGAGAATGATCACACATCTTTTAAACTGAGAAATTTCCAAATGGCTGTTAAAATTTCCTAATGAATGCTTAAACGCCTTCCTGTTATCTGCTGAAAGTCTTCGTCTCACTCTGTTTTGCAGCCTTTGATTAAATTTGAGTGCATAAATTTGGTTTCTTTTGGAATGGCTCACAACATCTCTAATCTGCCTTTTTTATTTTCAAACTCTCCTCTTGCACCGAGGTAGCTGAGCTCGGTCTAACTCTGTAACAGATCCATATCTAAAAGTTTTGTTGTTCAGACATAGTGTTCATTGATCATCAAAACATTTGCCTGTCACTGGCCTAGTCAGTGGAGGATACAATTACATATATTACATCATTTTGACCTCAGTGTTGCATTTAAAATCATAAGCCAATAAAAAATGTAGTGGCGGATTCTTGCTGTCTGTAGTCAGTTTGTGGACAGATGATCCTCAGGGTCACCGCCTTTTGCTGTGAGGAGGGATTGCCTTCCTCTGTGAATTTTGTGTAATTTTGCTCAGATTTTGTCATTTAGTCTGCAAATATACTCATATAGGATCTAAACCTTCCTATGACTAACCTGACCCTTTACTCTCCCACACAGTGTGCCCAATTAACTGCACGCATCGGGCCTGCACCATAGGCGACGAATTCAAGAACGAATGCTGCCACTATCAGTGCCTTGGCGGCTGCCTGAAGCCCAACTCGCCGAGACACTGCGTGGCCTGCCGCGGCCTTCTGCATGAAGACAGCTGTGTGGAGCGCTGCCCAGAAAACTTCTTCACCTACGAGGGTTGGCGGTGTGTCTCCCTTGCCTTCTGCCAGAATCTGCACAACAGGTGCAGGCAGAAAAAGAGCCCCGACTGCAAAGAGTACGTCATCCACAACGGTGCCTGCATCCCAGAGTGTCCCTCTGGCTATTCGATAGGCAACTCCTCCACGTAAGTAGACACTCCAGACGGTCTGATGGCTTCTTAATAGCTTGAAAGATGTTCAGTCACTGAAGTGTGCTTAATGTGCTGCGTTAAAACACAGGATAGTATGAATACTTTTCTTTCTTTTCTTCTTTTGTATTCAGTAAAATGTTCAGAACGATGAATAAAAGAAATGCGAAACCCAGCCTTGAAATAAGAAAGGAAGGAAATATGCAACAGAGGGATGGAAAAGGGAAAGCACAATTTAGAAATTTTAGGGAAAACGTGGCAGATAAGGAAAGAATAAAATTGGGGGAAAAAGGGAAGAGTAAACGACTGAAAGAAGCAAAAAATAGGAAGGCAACATTTGAGAAAAGGAAAAGATGTAAAAAAAAAAAAAGTTAAAAGAAAAGGCTGGCAAAGGAAAACAAAATATGGCAGAAAGAATAGGAGCAAGACAGAAAGGAAAGGTGCAAATAAAAGGAAAAGCAGTCTAGGAAAGGATGGAAGGAACCATGAAAAGGCAGTAGAAAGCAAAGAAAGAGAAAAAAGATGAAAATAATGAAGGAGAGGGGGAAATTTGATGAAGAAAGGAAAATGGAAGTATGACCTTTCATACAGTAATGAGGTTTTCAGCCGATGACCTTGTGCTCTGGAGCCCTTTAGCCGTTTGCTTGGCATGGAGCTGTATGCAGCTCAGCTCTGCACTGCATTGAATTAGGGATTTGTTGAACTTTCACCTTTATGCATTGTGACGCAAACCTGCAGCGCCAATGGGGACAGAATGAAAATGAAAACAGCTCAGGATTGAGCTGACAGCAGGATCTCAGTGTGATTTCAGCACCTAAAACATAGAAATCATCTTTTTCATTTGTTTTTTTTTTTTGCTCTACTTCCCAAACCTCTGCAGTAGGAAACAGGGTTCACTGCTCCAAATATCCAAATTGATCAAGACTTAAGGGAATATATTCAAATTCAACTTTTTTTCTTAACTGCAAAATAAACAGAAAACATAAAAAAAATACATATTTAGATCATTATTCAAATTAAGGGCTTTAGCTCAGTTTATAGTTAAATTGAATTCTTACTAAAGCTATTGCAACTGTTCCTCGCAGCTCTAACATCACCTGTTATGCCTTCTGTTATTTTTTATTTTTCCCACAAAAGCCTTTTGTTTAATTCTTTTTTTCCCCTCCTTGCTTGTGAGTGTGAGCCAAAGCAGCTAGGTCAGGGTGTTGCAGCTGACTTTGTCTCTGTTACTGTGATTGAACTACAGTACTTGCAAATTAGTCCTCAGAGATGTGAGGTATGTTTCAACCTTTACAGTCTGTTCTGCTTAAAAGCATATTGTTAAAATATTTCTTTGGCGGATGATGCTGAGCTATAGCTCTCCTTTTTTGACATCTAGTTTGCTTGTTAAACTATTAGATAATGGGTGTAAATGGCTGGTTATACTCCAGTGTATATTTTTGATTTATGCCCAATTTTGAAGCGTGATCTGCGCTATGTTATTCCACGCCACAATGCAAGATGAGGGAGGTGAGCAAGTGGAAAAAATGCAAGGGGTGAGTTTGTGCAACAACAGAGGGACATGAGGGCGAAAAAGAGCGGGGTTCCAGGTGGAAAAGGGGACCCAGCGTTCTCACGCACCTTGCTCTTCTAGCTGGTCCATCTTCACGAGTCACAATGGTGGTCATACAAACAAAACAGGCCGGTAAGGTACCAAGCAGGAAATACGCATAGTGTAGAGCGGATGTAGATTTGACCAGTCAGAGGCCTCTTGTCTGCTGCACTGTCTGTGGCCACCTACAATTTTTTGAGAGGTGCACCAGAGTGTCTGCGGAGGGGGGCACATTTGCATTCACTATGACACACACGCAGGCGACCTGGTTTCTGAGTATAAAGCAACCTTAACTGTGCAAATGAAGCTCAAGAGGCCAGCGCTGAAAAACAGACTTCCTGTTTAGTGTTGATAAGCATGACGATTGAGTTTGTTCCTGCTCCGAATAATTACTAAAATGTCTAAATATAGCTTAATTCCCCATTACTTTGTCTAAAATATATTTCCAAGCAGGTTTTTATGTTTCATTTATTTATTTCAAGTTCCAAAAAAAGTCATGTTCCTTTTTAGAGATGCAGTGATATACTTTTTTCCAATCCAATACGATACCTGGGCTGAGCGCATCAGCCGACCCAACTGTTGAATGAATGAACCGTATATTTAGCCATGGGAGTGAGGACTTTAACCTCATAAAATCATATATTTTATAAAATCATATATTTATCTTAAAAATAGCAGAAAAACTCTTTACAAGAGAGTTGTAGATAACTGAGTCTGGTTTTTGACATTAGAAATCAACGGGAAGTCTGGAATTCACAAAGCTTTTAACACCAGGAGAATGAAAGGCATCAAGGGATTACTGTCCATTGACTTGGACTAGAGCCTTCTCTCCTCTGGCTCACTGCAAGTAAAAAAAAAAAGCAGCTTGTCAGAGAGCCTGCCGCTGCAAAGTCCAGACAGACCGTCTCTGAGAGCTGTGACAGGGAAAACCTGTTATGCTCTGGCTGCGATGTTTGTGACGTTATATGTGTTTAACCTTTATTAATCCGCAGAGGATTTGCAGAGTACATAATCTCTCATTTGAACAGTGTGCACCTTTACATCAAAAGAGTCACATGGTGCTTATTCACACCTGACCGACGACTGGAGAGCAGATGGAGTCCTAATGCCTCGCTTTAGTGCACTGCAGAAACAATGCTCTTTTTTTTTTAAGCTTCAAGATACTGAGACATAAATCTTATTTTGGGATAGAGAAGTAATAACAAACACATAGATGTTGACTAAAGCCTCTTTTAATGACTATGTGCCATGGCAGAATATTTCAATTGTTTTGCCAGCTGTAGATTTTCTCAGATGTAAAAATTTGTGGGATTTGTCCAGAATCAAAAGGTAGCCAGCAGCTCAGTGGGCAGATTTGCTCTCCTTTGCCCGGGAAATGAATCCACAAAGCCTGCACATCTGAACCTCCAGGCTACTGTCGACCTATAGTGAACCCATTTAGACCCACATCCTCTGCTTTTTTACACTGTGACTCTCTCTGTTCCCCTTTTTGGCTCGTCGCCTCTCTTTGGCATCTCCTTCCCTGTCGTTGGGTTCAAAGTAAAAAGAAAAAAGTTACGAGCAGCTGTGCTAAAAGTGAGCAACAGAATGGAGAGGGGGAGTAAAAAACGTTAAGATGGTTCAGGGTAGTTATACACCAAGCAAGTAAACCACAGTCAAAGCATTTTATTTGCAATATCAAAACGCTTTTCCCCCCCAAAGCCATACGGCGTTTTGAAGGATTGCGTCACGTTGTCTGTTTGTTTAGCTCTGCTGTTGGAAGCTGTTTGTTAATCTGATCTATTGTTGCAACACAGTCACGGCTCACAGTGCGTCGGAGATCAGCTGCCACTCGCTTCCATTGTTACAACACTTTCTTCTTTGACTATTAAACTTTGACTCAGTAAATTTGTGGCATGCATACGTGCCTCGCAAAAGTACTCACACCCCTTGAACATATCACGATACATTTTTATGTTATGGCTAAAGACAATAATATTTTCAGTTTGATTAATGAAGAGGACAGAAAGTGATCTGTGGCTTAGAGTAACACCTTAATTGTTGTGCATTTTTATTGCTCTCCCTTTTCTTTGATACCGCCTAATAAAATCCACTTAGATCTAACAAGAAAACCAATTTAATCTGGTTATAATTGGTCTAGATCTTCTGTGAAGTTCTACATTTTTTGATTTATTTAAGACGGCATTACTCTCAACCAGCTTTCAAGAATGCAATCTGCATATCACGCCATTCTCAGAGGGAAACACAGTGGTGGAAGCGTCATACTGTGCAGATGATTTTCTTGAACACAATCAGCCAGTTTTCCTTGAACTTCTCAGGTTGTGTGGCGGACATTAATGTTAAATTAATTAAATCATTAAACTTTGTTATGTTACCTTTTCTCTCTCACTCTCTCTTTTGTTTGATTTTTTTTTATAGGCTCATGTGCACGCCCTGCGCTGGTCCCTGTCCTAAGGTGTGTATGGGTCTAAAGACAGTGGACTCAGTCACTGCGGCCCAGGCTTTGAGACGATGCACCATTCTCAATGGAAGCCTGATCATCAACCTGCGTGGAGGAAGTGAGTACCTGGTGTGTTTGGTCGAGTCAGATTACAGCGTCCAACCTGTCAGAGCTGCAGAACAACACCAAGAGTTGTTGTCTTTGTCCTACACCAGCAGTCTGCATCAGCAGCATCCAGTTTAACAGCTCATATACTATAAATGGAAGAATTTTTCAATGATATGGTTTAAAATTAAAATAAAAAACATATTAGCATATCATTTCCAGCTATTTGATTGCTTTAAGACTTTAAGAGTTGAAAACTGGAAAACAAACACTGGCTTTATATCAAAAAACGTGTTTTATGGAGAGTTGGAGTTGCAACATTGTTTTCCAAATTTCTGGTTCAAAGATTCTTTGTTTTGCTCTTTGTAGACAACATTGCAGCTGAGCTGGAAGCCAGCCTGGGCCAGCTGGAGGAGATCACTGGCTACCTGACAGTGCGGCGTTCCTATGCTCTGGTTTCCCTCTCATTTTTCCGCAAACTCCGTCTTATCCATGGAGAAGAACAGGAAATCGGGTAATTATTCCTCATCTTTAACAATTTCAATATATCAGCCCATAAGGATGAGTTGATGTTCTTTTTCTTGTTTTTTTGCTTTCGGTTTGACTTCCCATAAACATAAGGCTTAATCCAAAAATGATGGTGGATGTTTTTTATTTAAAGCACTGGGGTTGGTTTTACAAAGGATGTTTACTTAAAGCTACATTTTCTAAAATTGAAATCGGGTAAACTGAGTTTTGCGGTTCACAAAGAGTTTCCTCAACCTCTATTTCAGTCAGTGTAGTAACATTCTCCACAGATCTAACCTGCTTGGTAGCAGGTTTTGTTCAGTAAATTCATAGTGTCCTCCGTCTTCGCTCACCTTACAGCCAATCACGTTGTTTTATTTTTCCTGATTTAGGCAGGAGATTTTGTAGTAGTTTTGTGCGAGCAATAAAAAAAGTCCTTCAGGAGGTCCGTTAGATGCATGTCCTTTTGATGAGGATCTGTTTGAAGAATGAGCAGCATTAGTCCACAGAGAATTTAATATTTATACTTTGATGCTTCTCACAATCTGTTGCATACATCCACGACCTCATCCGTCCTCACATTAGCAGCACTACAGACGTCCTTAACAGGGATTTAACAGATCTTGATATCAGTGAGAGAACATTGATGTGAGATAACTGCATCATAGAAAACAGCCGCACAGTCAGACAGCACCAGTCCCATAGAAAGGCTTCAGAATGTGTCTCCTCTGCTTTCTAGTAGGTCTCTTATGGCTGCTAATACGCAGCTTATTGATGATAATAGCTGCTTGGTCCACACCTAAAACTGTATGTTTCATTTACTATTTACCTACTTTATAGTATTTATATACTTTATTTAAAATCTACCTATTTTTTTTTTTAAATGCGTTCTAAGGCTTTACCTTGAAGAAACTCCACGTTTCAGTCACACAGAAGTAATGCGACGATTAAAAACAACTCAGTTGACAGGATATGAGATTTCTTTGTTTTTTGTTTGTTTCATATGAGCAACAGGTGGATCTTTTTTTTCCCCACAATACATGAAGAACTATTGAAATAATTTTCATGTTACACATAAATAGAGTAATTATTCTGTGAGAAAAAAGGAATTACTTCAGGGTTAGGATTAATTTGGTGATAACAACCTACTAACCGCTAATAACGGCCATTCAATGTGATGATAACGTCCAAAGCAGCTGCAAACAGCCATTTGGTATTTACCGTGTAATCTAAGACATAATAAAACTGAGGAGGAACCCCATGAGATGATGGAACAGGTCCTACTTGTTTGAACAACGTTTTAATTCTTCATCTTCACGTGCTACCAGCTGGTTTTACCTAAATAGATACATTGATCCACTAACATTCAAGCAATAAACTAGTTTTCCCTTCATGTTATAATGGTTATAACATGCTGTGAATAGCAGTTTTGATATGTATTAGTTTGACGGAGTATGTAATAAAATATATTTTTTCTTTGTCAAAATTATATTCTTCATATTTATGATAACTCTTCTAGATTTCTAGAACCTAATTTAAGATCTCCACATTCCTATTGTTACTGCTCATAGTCCTTATATTTTGACTTTCAAGAAATGTGTTTCAGAAATTATTAATATATTTTTAGTCAAGCTGATAAATGTCAAATCGGCCACTTAAAATATGTAAACATTTCTAGGTATATAAAACTTAATTCTTACAAGTACATTTTTTTTCACTTTGTGAAATGGAAAAACAGAGGGGAAGGCTTTTAATAAATGTCAAAATGGACTGCCATAGACTTCACATAAAGTGAGGCATTAACTCTAGTAGCAAGCTTTTTCCTTTACAACTGTAGCATTGTTTCTCTGTCTACATTCTACTTTTTTTCCCATATCTGGAATAAAATCTCCATTTCCAATGGGGTGAAATAGGCACTTCCTGTTGCCTGTTATCATGGTGACTCATCACATTGATTGGTCTACTAATTGTGGTTTTTCATACTAAATTTGGGCCTACTCAAAGTTGATTGAACCAATTCACAGCAGCTGTTGTGAAACCGAAAACTCAGTTTCCAACCTTAAGCTAGATCAATTGAGAGTTGTAGATTTGAGCGTGAGTTTGTTAAACCTGCATTGTGAAACGGGCCTCTGCAGTTAGGAGTAGCCCTACAGTTTGGTACAAACACCCTTACGTGGCATCCATTGTTTTCCAGGAATTACTCATTTTTCGCCTTGGACAACCAGAACCTGCGGCAGCTCTGGGACTGGTCCAAACACAATCTGACCATCCTGAAGGGACGCATGTTTTTCCACTACAACTCCAAGCTCTGTATGTCTGAGATCCGCAAGATGGAGGAGGTGACAGGGACCAAGGAGCGGCAGGTCAAGAATGAAATCGCCTCAAAGACCAATGGAGACCAAGCCTCATGTAAGAAACCAAACTCAGACAGAGGCCTGGCACAGCCCCAGACCCAGTTATTGTTGCAGAGGTCATTTCCTGCCTTCTATTAGTACATGACTTCCTGGGGACCTTTTACTCTGATTTAGTTATAGGCCAAATAAACATCACAGTACAGATTACTGATGTTCAGGTTTTCCTTCACCTTGAACTTGTTCACACGGCAACATTTTTAAACACTAGCTTGAGTGAAATTCACTAAAAACGGGAAAAATCTTTTTTGTAAAAAGGATTAAGTTCAGTCAGACGGAGAACATCTATAGACCAAAACCTCGAGGTCCCTCCACAAAAGTTTTTCTTGCTATAATTTTCTCCATTCGTCTTTCCATAATTAAACAAGCTTCCCTTTAGCCAGTAAAGAGACACCAGGCTGAATCTCTATTCCTAATGCTGCCCTTGCACTGTTTATCTGTTCGGTTAAAAAAAAAAGTCACATTGTGTTTAAATGCACAATAATGTGTTCTCTATCTGTTCTGGTTGAAGATGGTGCACACACTCGTTAAGTGGGGCTGCACCAGTGTTTTTATTTTGTTATTTTAATGCATTTTCCTATTCTGTCCTTGTCAAATGGGGCAGATAGTTTTAATCTTTAATTTGTGTATAGTTTAGCTGAAGCAAAGGCTTATGAAGCTGCTTTTTTTTAAAACAACACTAAGCTATTCTTCACTTAAAAACCATAAAAAATTCAATAATAATACTTACAGTGATCATTTTCAAATATAATTTTGTGCTCAGCTTTTTTGAAACCAAGAAAGGACATCTAAAGGACATCTTAACAAACCCTGAGGCGTTAGCTCCCTCAATAGCAAACATTGCAAGCCTTAAAGGATTTTAACCAAAAAAATAAATTTCATCTAAAGTAAAAGTTGAAATTTACCAATTTCAGTTTGTATAAGTACAAGAGGAGCTGCAACTACAGCTAATAGAGGGAAATATATCATTAAAATATGTGTCCTCATGTGATTTTTATCCAAAGACATTGTGTACCCATTGTTGATTTACATCATCAAAACACGGCATGTGTCTGACTCTAAATCAGTTTAGCTGGACAGTCTTGCCTTGGTAGGTTTAAAGTTGTGTCAACTTTCAATTTCCTGATGATGAAAGATATCTGTTCTCCAGCTAACTTTTCAGGCTCTGACAGAAAAGCTGGATTTTTCCTCTGATATAATTCCAAAAAGAAGGACTCTATGTCATTTATATGACTATTTTAAAAAAAATTATAAACTTATTTAGGGGGCTAAGGTTACTCTGCCACCTGTAATCTCAATAAAATGCACTAATGTTTGTGCTTGAACTGTGAAAATATGCAAGGTCCTGTGTTTCCTCTAAAAGTTAAAGGTCACATCTAGATGTGTTTCCTTTTTCTATACGGTCACTGTATTGAAACGACTTTTGCAAACGACAGATTGTTTGGGTCTTTCTGCCCCTTAATGTGTTATGAACTTCTGTTGTTTTCCTGTTGCCATGGCGACCAAACAGGGATTGTTTGTTCCAGCTGGATAAAGGAAAAACACCTTTTAGATCCCCCAACAAAACCATTAATAAGCTCAAACTGAGCCTCAGTTTTCCCTGTAATCCTGTTAAAGATGTGCTGCACTGAAAGAAGAACAAATTGTCCTAACAGCCCTAATCCAAGAATTCTTCTTTGTTTATTTTTGGTTGTTCAGAAATATATATATATATATATATATATATAAATTGTTTTATTAATAATCGGATAGCATATAGCAGATAGACATTTATATTAATATATAAAAGCATATTGACTGATGGAAATGTTCTTTTATCTTAAATTTGAAATATTTAGGATTTTCTTTTTTACAATTTTGTTATGATTGCTGCTCAAAGTGGGTCACTCTGTCAGCCAAAGGCATGTTTTAGAGTCTCTGTACTTCAGTTAACAATTAATTAATTAAAACATTTGTTGACAATTATTTCAGTAATCGATTAATCTTGGATTAATTGTTTAAGCCCTAGTTTGTTTGGTCTTCTTTCGATGGTAGCTTCCAACCTTTATTTTTCTGTATCAGTTCTTCCTTATCTGGTTTACATCAGCCCTTTACTTGGATGCACTAGTTGAAATAAGCCAAATATTCTTAAATATGATTAAACTTTCTACTTTCTACTTTTATCTCTCTCCATTTTTTTTATGTGATCTTCTGCCCAAATGAGGGAAAATATTTTCCTAATCTGGAATTTTAACCATATATTCTCATACCCTGTAAATGGTAAAGCTGAAACTAAAATGTCTTAAAGAAACATATGTTCATAGAATGGGTTCTATTTCCTTTTACAAAACCTGCTTGTTAACAATATGTTTTCCTTTAGACAAAAAAACAAATGTTCATGTTTTTTTCCTTAAGTTTTTTTTTTTTGCAGTGTAGAGTGCTTCAGGCAGAATTATATATCAGCAGAGTGAACATTTTCATTCAGGGGTCTCTAAAAGCTTTAGTACTTAGTTTTCTTCATCAAATATTTGTAAAATGAAGGCTTACACAAGGGGACTTTTAAGAAGAATCATCCTAAACCTTCTTTGTATTTGAAAAATTGAATCATTCACATTACTTGTGAAATTTGATCTGTTACAACAATAAAACCAACAATATACGATTGAGACCAGGTGGAGGAAGTTGAGCACTTTGCTATAATTGTACATTTTTCTGTGCATGTTTTACCTCTTGCTTTTTCTAAAGAAGCATTATAAAGGTTCCAGAGTTTACTTAAATAACTAATGAGAATTAAACTATCAGTTTGAAGCTGAGAAATCATCAGTTAACAGATAATCTGTGAAAGCTGATGCTGGTGGCCGTGTCAGATTAATTTGTAAATCTTATGTCTGTTTTTTAATTTATATATTTTTTCCATTTTGTAAGCCAGCTGTCATTTCTCTGTTTTTTTCTAGGTGAAAACCATTTGCTAAAGTTCACCCAGATCCGAACCATGAGCGATAAGATCGTGATCAAATGGGAGGCATTCTGGCCTCCGGACTTCAGGGACCTGCTGGGCTTCATGGTGCTCTACAAAGAAGCGTAGGTTCACCTGGAGCCTGCCGCTCTGGCAGCTCTGCCAGTCAGGTGGCTCTTCTCAGGAGTCTTAGGAGTTTTTTCCCAGGCCTAAAATTTATTTCAGTTTCTCAAAGGCCGCATATTCCCTTAGTAAACTAACTTGTGCCATACCTCCCTTCCTCGTCTTTCCTTGATTCCTTTCTTCTGCCTCGCCTTTCTTCCTTTTTGCTAGTCCACCCTTGCTTCCGTGAGTTCATTCTCTCAATCCCCCCTTAATTTATTTTCTTCTTTCCCTCCTAATTTGTTTTCTTTCCTTCTAAATGTGGTACAGTACATTCTTTGTGTCTTTTCTTTTCCCTACCTCACCCTACCCCTTTCTATTGTTTCCAGTCATGCCTTCCTTCTCTCTAGGTTCTTTATTTTCTAAAAGGCTGCTCAATAGATAAATATTAACCATAACTTCTTAGTGATCTTGATTTTTCTTGTTTTAAAATGAATATAAAGGCCGAATGATTCTAGAAAAGTCTAGATTTTTAACAAGTAGAAATATGTACAACCCATTTAGTTAATCTGACCGTGTTTTGTTTTTGCGTTGGTGTTTAGCTAAATAAAGCCCTTAGATAGTGAAAAATGCTGAACTAGAGAAGCCTCTGATGTAGAGCTGTAATCTGTAAATCATAGACTAAATATTCCTGTAAATTGTCTCTATTCATTATCTCATGATTGGAAATAATTACTCATTTATCTTCGCCCTGCTTCCCCGCCATTTCAAATTCTTACAATCATATGGTGGTAGATTTAGTTTGTTTTTATACTTAAACTGATTAGTTTATGGCTAAACTGGTTTTAAATTTGGCTTAAGAAATTAATAAATCTTTGAAAAAAACATATGCTTCAGTAATTCTGCTTTTCTTTAAACATAAAAACCTACTAAATTTTTCACTATCCCCTCTATTTGATATTCTATATACACCATCCAGCTCTCTTAAGTAATAAACAAGCTTAAGCCAAACCAGTCATCAGGTAAAATCATTCTTTTCTTCCTATAAAAGCTTCAGTAACTCTGCTGACAAGCTGCAGAAAGCATGTTAAGTTAAACCCCAGCCTCTTTGTATAAAATACACTCTAGGCAGGTAAAAATAAAGCATCCTCCATCTGAATGTTGTTGTTTTTTTTTCCATCACAACAGACCTTTTCAGAACGTAACTGAGTTTGACGGGCAGGACGCCTGTGGCTCCAATAGCTGGGTGATCGCTGACGTTGACCCTCCGCGCCGAGCGACCGACGGGGACAAAGATCAGTACGAGCCGGGTCACCTCATCCACCCTCTGAAGCCATGGACACAGTACGCCATCATGGTGAAAACGCAGCTGTCTGCTTCTGACGAGCACCAGGTCCACGGGGCAAAGAGCGAGATCATCTACGTTCGCACCAACGCCACCAGTAAGACTGATTAGATTTTTTTTTTTAAAGTCCTGTTATTGTTTCGTTCATGTTTGATCAACTGGAGAAAAAAATGGGTTAAAAAGAATAGACTAACATGAATGATTAGAAAGCCCTATCCTCCTTTAGATACAGTTCACCTGGAAAAAAAATAGATCGCTTTGGCGGATAACGTAAACAGAAAAGCATCAATAAAAGAACAATTTTACCTCAAACTACTGATTTTTATTCAAACGTTAAGCCATCTTTATCAGCATGATGCATCTTCTCACGCTTATAGCTTCCTGTCTATTTAAGCTCTTAAATGATGATTGAATCTAATCTGTTACTCTCCACAGAGTTTCCGGTTTATCTGGTTGTTATAACTTAGTTTTTTTCCTAACGAATTTGATGGATTTTCCAATTAATTCAGAGCAGATGATTTTCATTGAAAGTGTCTGTCATGGGTTGAATGTTGAAGGTTCGAACGTGAAATATGAGTAATGAGCAGGGGAGAAGAGGCCTGTGTCTTTATGTAGAATAAAATGCAAGTATTTTTATGGTGGTTATATCATAAACAGCATCTAGTTAGTGCTGTTTGTTGGTCGCCCTTTATGTTCAAAACAAATTCCTTTATGCAACAACAAGGAAGAGGAAGAGAGAGAGTTGTTTTTTTGGCCTGAGATGCCAGCGACTTGACAAGGCCTAGTCTCATGCAAGCTGCCTGCACCACTAAGGCAGCCGTTCTTCCTCTGTGACTCGGTGTCCTCTGCCACCCACAGAGCCCGCCTGGTGCACCTCGGCCTAATTACAGACACTGTGACCTGTCTGCCTCTCTTCCTTTTAAACCAAATATATTTCCTTCTCTACAAACCGCATCAAACATGACATCCGCCGCTCACACAAAACAAATCTCCTGCTGAGATGCCTCAGCCAGCCGTGCCATTCGCAGGGCGTGGGGGGAGTGGGGAAGCATTGTCTTCTGCCTGTTTGGCGACTGCTCCTGATCCGTGACGTTTCTCTCCAACATACCTCATCAGAAGGGCAGGGCTGTCATTACGTGTTAGCCGGCGCTGCTGAGACCTTCTCTGAGAATCCAGTAGAACCAGCTCACCTCACTGTCTTGCAACAGCATCCTAGCACAAATGCATAGCTCTCAGTCTATCTCACTCGTGTGTTAGTCTGCTGCCCACACACTCACCACCGCATATATAATGAGAAACTTTGATTCTTGGCATTCCTGGTCCAGATTTCCGAGAGCAGAACAACATTTTGTTAAACTGGTATCCTCTCAAAACATAGATGATAAAAAAAAAAAAAAAACTAAAACAGAGATTAACAGTTAATTCCTTTGTTTGTCATTTTGATCCCACCATTATGCACTTGTGATTGTTCCGCTCTACTTTCATAAATCTCCCACTGACTAAACTTCTAGTCATGTGGAGTTAGTTGACAGTGATGGGTGTCGTGACCTCAGTGCTTCAAATGAACTTGAACCAAAACAAAGTCTTTTTGTGTGTGTGTTAGTAGCTTTACGCAGGGATTAGCCATACATAAACAGAACAGGCTCATTGTTCGGGGTGCTCAAGTATTCTTATCCCTTGAGCCTTAACAGTAACAGTGTGACGCGTTACAATCACTGCATTCAATGTATTTATTTGGATATGATGTGATAGACTCACACGTGACAGTTCTTTTTTTGGACTGGTGGAAAAGCGATTCATTGTTTTCAGATTGTGTAATAAAATCTGAAAAGTGTGGCATGCATTTTGTGTCTACCACTTTAAGTCAACCTTCTGTTCCAATTACTGCTCCAGGTCTTTAGGGAACCTTTCCATTCCCTTTTATACATCATTTCATGCTTATTCGGACTGGATGGAGAGTATCCATGAAGAGACATTAAAAAGGCAGTGAGCACTAAGATTAGGGATGGTAAGGAATGGACAAATATTCAAAACTAATATATCCCAAGATTCTGTTATTTTAAAACTGTGATGTTTTTAATTATATTTCCAGTATCTTGATATACATTACAGCCAGAGTAGAAGAAGAAGAGCTGGTCATGGTCATAAGTGGTGCAATGAGTCTCTAATCAACTGAAACACAGAAATATACTGTGATATAAGTTGTGGTCCTACTTAAGATCTTGACCTCAGTTGAACCCCTGAGCTGATAGTGACTCTCCAGCAAGAACCCACCTATGTTACAGCCTTCAACAGCTGCAGTCCTTTGCTCAGCTTCATCTATCTTTTTGTCACTGCTGAGAAGAGGTTTCCCCTTAGCATGATACCACCAATGCTGTCTTTCACCATGGGCATGGTGTGTGCAGATGATCTAGCTTTCCACTACTAGTATTTTCACCCTCTTTAAAGGCTAGTTTGTGAAGTGGAAAACTAGCAGTTATCATGTCCCTGGATTCCCCTAAAATAAGCTGTGAATCTCTGCAGCTCCCCCACAGGTGCTAAGGACCTCTTGTTTGCTTCCTCTACCGTCAGTGGACCACTATGGCTACGTTCACACTGCAGCCTAAAGTGACCCAAATCCGATGTTTTTTGCCCGTATGCGACCTGAATCTGATCTTTTCATGGCTGTCTGAACAACACAGATCCGATTTTTTCTAATCCGACCCAGGCCCAGTGGGCAGTCGTGGGTGAGCGGTTAGGGTGTCAGACTTGGATCCCAAAGGTTACCGGTTCGACTCCCGACCCGCCAGGTTGGTGGGGGGAGTACCTCAGGGTACCTCCATGACTGAGGTACCCTGAGCATGGTACCGTCCCGCCACACTGCTCCCTTGGGGCGCCATTGAGGGCTGCCCCCTTGCACGGGTGAGGCATAAATGCAATTTCATGGTGTGCAGTGTTCACTTGTGTGTGCTGTGTCACAATGACAATGGGAGTTGGAGGAGTTTCCCAAAGGGCTTTCACGCTTTCACGCCACTTGGCTATGTGGTCCTGAATCCGATACGAATCTGATCTTTTCAAATGCGACCTGTGTGTAAACGGTTCATCATTAATACCCGACAAAGGCCACTATTATGCGGCTTGCTAAGCAGAAGCGGCAATTAAAACAACAACCATGGCGGATGATAATGCAGCGAGAAGTATTTATGTTTAAACATATTGAAAAGATTGTGTTTTTATGGTTGGAAAAGACCGATAGATGCACACCGGCACTACCATCCATGTTTACTTCTGGAAAAAAAGAGCACGCTGGCCTGTGACATCATTGCGTCCTCTACTGTGCATGCAGGACACTTGCGTTGTATGACTGCAGTTCACACAGGAGATCACATACAGGTCGCATTTATTTGGAAATATGAACTGAACGGCAACGCAAAAAAATCGGATTTCACAAAAAAATCGGAATTGAGCATCAAGGCCTGCAGTGTGAACGTAGCCAAAGTCTCTGTAGGCTTGCCACAGTGCAGAAATTCAGATAAAACCCCACTCACAGTAGGACTTTAGCTGCCATATATGTGACTTCTGAAGGCAGTATAGTAAAAGAAGCTGAATGCAAATCATTGCGAAAGATTCCAGGTTTTTGTTTTTAAAATGAAAACTATTTTCATTGAGCTTCACAAGTTAGTGGGTTGTTTTTTTTTCTTTCGATGATGCTGTCACTGAAAGAAAACTAATATGTGAATAAGTTTGAGGAATATTTATTTTTCTTCAGTTATCTTTCTCCTGTGCAACAAAGGATGCAAACTGAAAACCAAAACAGTTGATGTAAACCTGTCCCTCGCAAACATCAAACACCAAAAATTGTTGGGGGGAATACCCAAGCAGGCAGCTGTGCCAGTAAGTGCTGCATGATCTCGCAGCAATCTGAAAATGCAAAGCGGATCGAAAGTGGAATATTCATCTCCCATGTACGATTAAGGGTTCTTTTATCTATCGATGAACGACGGCTTGATTCCAAGTACTGAGAAGTCTGAATTTAGTACATTTCCTTTGTAAACTTCTACTACATACAATTCTAAACATTTAAACCCAGAAACCAGAAGCTGGGGGAGACTTTGATCCTTTTACTGAAGGTCTTCAACGTTACATCTTAAGTGACCTGGATAAGTATTGCGACACTCCTACCCCCAGCATGTTCATGTAGGCGGTCTGCATTCGGGTAAAACAATGTTCACTTAGATTTGCAGAATTCAAATATCTGGGAAGATGACGTAAAATTTAGCAACCCTTTCACTCTGAAGATCAACACCTCAGATTGTTTTGTGGCTACTTTTTCAGCTTCAACATTTGGTACCTTTGAATCTTCAATCGTCACAAAAACAGAACATTTTGTTCCTGCTATAGTGTTTTATAACCTCCATGTTTTTTTTTCCACTTTAAGAATCAAAGATTAAAAGTAATTGTTTAACTCTTGCTCATTGTGTCATGTATACTTTACTTTGCACGTGTACGTTTTTATGTTTCCTCTGCTGTTTGTCAAATGTCTTCTGTTCTAAACGGCTCTTTCTTCAATATCTCTGCAGAGCCCTCAGAGCCACTGGACCCCATGTCTTCCTCCAACTCTTCCTCTCAGATCATCCTGAAATGGAAACCTCCCAACGATCCCAATGGGAACATCACTCACTACCTGGTCTCCTACCAGCGCCAGCCTGAGGCCAGCGAGCTCTTCAAGTTTGACTACTGCCAGAAGGGTGAGGCGCTTGTTGTGGCTGGGTTCTGGTTCTGGTTTCACATTAGTCTTTGCCTATTAGAATCAAAATATATCTTCCTTATCACCTTTGATTGCTTTTTGAGTTATAAATCTATCAGCTAATTTGATTGAGATGCACATGGCCATAGAGCTGCATCATTCTGCGTCCCATCTCTGAGGTCTGGATGACTAAATTTAACCTTCCACTCAGACAGCCCAGACCGTCCTTTGGCTCTGGCGAAGGTTCAAACAAAGTTCACACATTTATTTTACTTGAATCATTTTGGGCACAGCTTGCCTGGCTTCAGCCTCTGGCCAACTGCGCCGATCTGCGTTAGCGCATTGATTCTACAACGCCATAGAGATCGGGGTCTGCAGGGAGGCCTTGTCAGGGGTAATTTATCTCCACTACAGACGTTGACGACCTGGGAGCGACAATGACAGACAATCCCTGCAGGAGTGTGTGTGGGTATTACCAGCGTGACGTTTATTGCAGCTGTCATGTCTCTTTCTGTTCCCCGCTGTGCATGCGCGCCTCACACCAGGCATGAAGTTGCCGTCGCGGGTGCCCACACAGGTGGACAGTGACGAGGAGCAGAAGTGGAACCAGACGGAGGACCAGGGCCAGGGGAAGAAATGTTGCGCTTGTCCTAAAACTGAAAAAGAGCTCAAGAAAGAGAAAGAAGACTTGGAGTACAGGAAAACCTTTGAAAACTACCTCCACAATGAAGTGTTTGAGATCAGGTAGGTCTGACATATTAGGGCCTTTTTATGTTCCAATATTCTATGTTCCATTTTTATTTAACCTTAAACGTGTTTGCTCTGTCTAGACGCCTGAGACAGCGGCGCTCTGCGATGGGCATTGCCAACAGGACCATCCTCACCACCGCTGCCAGCCTCGCCGGAAGTACATCCGTCCCGGACGATGAGGAGGATAAGGAATACCCCAAGACCATGGTTGTCGTCCATGCAAAGGAGTCCACGGTCATATCCAACCTGCGACACTTTACCAGCTACCAGATCGAGATCCAAGCCTGTAACCATCCCACTGACCTGGCCCGCTGCAGCATAGCAGCGTACGTCAGCGCCCGCACCATGCCTGAAGGTAAATAGCCTCTATGCACACATCTATTCTACTGTTTAACCCCAGCTAGGTACTGGTATTTACCTTAAAGCACAAAGTTTATATAATAAACCCCTACTGTCACACAACAAAGATCCTAATCGGTGCATAGATGTTAAGTGAAAGGAAAAATATGGTTTTATTAGCTTTTATGTTGCACATTTGCATGTAGCTTCTGATTACAGCCCAGAAGTATTCATACTGCTGTCAGATTTCTGTTTAGTTTCTTTCTATTGAGAAATTTGTTTCTAATAAATAATGACATGGGACTCTGGAAAAAGGTAATAAAGCTGTGCTAATAACAAATAATATTTATTTTACCATTAGTTTTAATAAAACAAAAGTCATCATTTTTTAAATCTGTTTGAAAGTACACATTGGCATTTTATCCGTCGAGCCCCTTTATGGTTAATGAATATTTTTGTTTTGTTTTGTTTTTTGGGTTGTTTTGCTGAAACATAGTGGGTTTGTCTTTTGGTGCTCTAGACCTTTATGGCTCAGGCTTGTGAATATTTGTTGTATTTGAATATACCTTTGCTTTATTTACAGCTGTAACCCTTTCTGGAAATGTCTCTTTCAGCTTTGGACATCCAAAAAAATGAAATAATTGCCCCGCCCCTTTTTTTTTCTCTCTCTCTTTGCTATATTGTAGAGATGTATTATATCTCTATGGATATGAATATGTATGATAAAAATGAAATACTGTTTTCAAGACTTAAATCCATCATCTAAAAGTTTCCTCCATTCAGTCCATTGTTTTCATCATTGCAGTCACCAATGAAAGAAAAGCAGCTCTGGTTTGCTTTGCTTCCAAAAGAAATTCAAATATTTATACATTTTAAAAGGATGAAAACCCCAGAAAATATAAATTTGCTCTGATTGTTTTCCGGGTTTGTAGTTCAAACAAAAATAAAAATTAGTAATTTATATCTTGAAAGTTTAAACAGGCAAAATTTTATTTGACAAGTACATGAAAGTACCTGCAGTAGGTGATAGAATCTGTGGGTATTTATTACCAGTGTTTTTTAAATCATCAACATGACCTATGATTTTATGATTTAATTTATTTTAAGTTTACATTAATAAAAAAAAAGACTTGGCACTACCAACTATACATGTCTGTTCCATAGACTTTATCTCAGATGGTGGATAAGGTGCCAAAAACAGGGCTGGATCCTTGAGACTATAAATATTAAAGAACGTCTACGATGTCTAAAGAAATGTTGTTGGATCTCATCTCTTGTTAAAATTGTTTTCTAACATTAGCATTTCTCAATATGTCTCAGAATTTAGTATAATGTATGAATTAAGGCTGTAAAATGTCAGGAAAATATGGTGTTATATTCAAGAGCATTGAGACGCAAAATTTGGGATTTGACTAAGTCTAAAAACATATTGAATTTTGATGTGAAAACTTTGCAGCAATTTCAAACAGATGGTTGTTAAAAAAAAATTAATGAAAAAAATGCTTTCCCCCCCCCACAGATAAAGCTGATAACATCTTGGGCCTCATCACTCATGAAGTCACAGAAAACACCGTGCACATACACTGGCAGGAGCCTGCAGCTCCTAACGGCATCATCATCCTATATGAAGTGAACTATAAGAGAGTGGGAGACGCTGAGGTACAAACACGCATCCACACGTCGCTAAAGCCCACCCCTCATACCAAGATAGGTCACTCTGACACAGAGCTGTGTTTTCCTTTTACTCCAGTAATAACTGCATCTTTTAGCAACTAATAATTTGTGAGCAGGAAATCAGAGAAGCCAGCAAAGAGAGGCTATGCCTGCCTGACTGTTTTTTATATATAGTTAATGGTCATTTAATTTGCCCTAATGGAACAGCAATTTTAGCGCTGCACTGTTTTTAGTGCCCATGGAAACCAGTTAAAAACATCAGTTGAAAACATGTTTTGGCAGCGACACTTGTTTTGTTTTTCTACTGAGGAAACATAACAGATGCAGCATCATGAAAGTCAGAATAGTAATTTTAGATTTAATGGAAAAAGAACCTAATAACTTTCCTCTGCCTGGATCTCCTTGCAGGAGCTGCCTCACTGCGTGTCAAGAAACATGTACAAAGCAACCCAAGGCTGCAAGCTGAAAGTGATGCATCCTGGGAACTACTCAGTCAGGATTCGGGCTACGTCGCTGGCTGGGAACGGATCTTGGACCGAGCCCTCCTACTTTTATGTCCAGGATCCCAGTGAGTGTTTCATATAGGAAGGGAGTTTGGCTCAAAATCCTTGTAGTGTTAGAGGGAACATCTTTTTTTCTTCAGTTATCCTTTATAACTATTTCATTTTGATTAAGGAAAAATGTCACTTTAATCCAAAAAATATGCTCCTTTTATCCCAATAGTTACATAGGTTAATTTATGCTCTACCTTCTGAATACAAATTTGAAAGGAAAATTAAAAATAGCTGATTTGCTTTACTTCCTTCTGTTCTATTCACTTAGTATAAGATCAGTTGTATCCATTAACGTGTTGTTTTTGACAGCCATCTTAGATTAAGTATATTTCAAGAATATGTGAACTAAAATGTTGACATATTCAAAGGAAACAGAAAATGTTTTAATGACAATACAAGGAAACATTTACATCATATTTAAACATATAAAAACAAAAACTTTGAGAGAGAAATTTAAAAACCCTTTCATCTGGGTCTATATCCAAAAATAAACAGCATGTAAGGAAATATTTGCTTTGGATATAATTTAGGTACACCTTTTGGTAGAAGGTTTTGCATTACCTCTTGTGGGCTAGAAGAAATAAAATCCTGATAGTTAAAAAGTATTTTTTAAGCTTGGCAGAGGATGATCAGCCACATCTAGTTTATTAAGTAGCGAGGGCAGGAAGAGCCATACTGCTGAGGGCGAACCATCAGAGTGGAGCTTAAAGTGCAGACTCTGAGGTAAATGCGCACAAAGACGCATTTCTGCACAAGCACAGCTGGAAGAACAGTTTGTCAGAGTTGAGTGCGCAGTCCCGGACCATTCCGAATTACCTTCAACCCTGTCACTGCTGCCATGGTCCACCTGTGGTCATGCAGAATGTGCAACGCTGCAAGGCAGGTGGGCGCCGTGACCAAACAGGATGCAGCAGCATGGCTGATACTGCTTAGCAGATTACAGCACAATGATGCATTTTAAACGTCTGACAGAGCACCTGCTGATGTTTTTATTCAGTCTCGCCAAAAAAAAACCTCACACCCATGACTCGTCATGTTTTCGTCATCAAAGATTCATATTTAGCTCGTCAGTTTTCATTATCATCATGTAAAAAAGGAGCATCAGCTGAATAATTTTGTAATTGTTGACGAAAGCCACACTGATCCATTATATATAAAAATCTGAAAACTCATTATTTTAACCATCCACTCCTAGTATTCGTATAATCATCAAGACATTAAAAAAATGTATGAATCATTTCTTAAAGTGTTTTGTTTTTCATCTGAAATGTGGCTCAAAGTAACCAGATGTTTCTAACAGGCGATCCTCTCTACATTGTGAAGATCATCATCGGGCCGATCATCTGCATTGTTCTGCTGCTGTTTGTAGCTGTGGCAGGATTCATCGTATTCAAGAAGAAGTGCGCAGCTCTCACACCTCATTCAGTCTCTCTTTTTTTTAGGTATTTCTGTCCCTCTCCTCACTCAGAGTGTGTTTTGTTTCCTTTCAGTCAAACCCAGGGACCTAGTGGACCCATCTATGCCTCTTCAAATCCTGAGTACCTCAGCGCTAATGATGGTGAGCTAACGGATTTAATCCATTATATTAATGTCAGAAGATGATGGACTTATGAAAAGAGACAGATAAAGGAAGCTGAAATGATCAGCGGCAGCATCTGCCCATGTTTACTGCTTAGACGTTCGCTTCAAAAAAGCAGATAAGAAAAAAACCAACCAATTATTTTACTAAACCACATTTCCCATAGTGTCTTTTTTTGGCTAATTTACGAAACAAACTGAACCAAAATCCAGCTCAAATGTGCTTTGCTCTCATTGTACACAGAGTGGATAAGTAAATAGTTTGTTTTCACTGCAAAAAAAAAAATTTTTCCTAAAATAAGTGATTGTTTTTTCTTGAAATAAGCAGGAAAGCAAGACACTTTGCCGATTAAATAATAACATTTATATTTAATATAGAAAAACAACAGCAGTCTCTTATTTCAAGCGCATTTTATCTAATTTTCTTATTTTAATGGTAAAAACACTAATTCCATTGGCAGATCATCTTATTAACCTACTCAAATGAAAGTTTAACAGTAAATACACTTATTTTAAGAAACTTTTACTCTTTTTTTATTGTTTTATTGTTTTATTGCAGTGTTTATGTGAACTCTCTCTCTCCAGACTGCAGAGATGTTTTACTGGGATTAAACTCTGAAGCAAGGCAAATTAGGCAACAAATAAATCAGTCCACTTTATTTACTCCTTCAGGTAGATTAAGTTATGGTTAGAGGACTCTGCTTTCTTTGCAAACAAAAAAACAACATATATCACACAGACATGCAATCAACACAAACTGATCTAAACAGTCCGCTTTAGAATTAAGGACAGAAAACCATAAAATTCATGGAGGGTGACGAGGGCTACAATCCATCAAATAAATAACATGAAATAATCATTCAAATGTGTCATTCATTTATTAAAACTAGATTTAAATACAGAATGTATTTAATAAATAAGTAATTATATAGATCTCAGTTGAATATATTGATTTTATATCAAGAAATGAAAACAATGATTTAATAAATTATTTCATGTTCCTGCGCTGAGTTACACCCTAAATTAATTTAAACTGTCACACATCCATCAAGCTCCGTCTCAGTAGAAACCCTGACATCTGATTGGCTCTTTCTCACTGAGAAAGATAAGAAACTTCCTCCTCTCCCCTTGCTCTTCATAAGCGTATTAGATATATTTCAGACCAAACTAGGGATATAAAGCCTGGATTTGTTCAGCCAATTTGCTGTAAATAAATGGCAACCCATTTTTTAATTTATTTCCACGTTTTGCAGACAAAATTAACTTTCCTGTAAAAAAAAAAAAAAAAAAATCAGGAAGAAGTCATCTTATCTTGCTTAGTTCGAAACAGCGAATCAGAGATGAGGATATCATAAATTAATTTTATTTACTTCATAGAATAAAATCGAAACATTTAAGATCCAAGATCCATATGACAAATTATATATTTATTAAATAACTTCTGTATTTATTTCCAGGATTAATACCTTTATGCCGCATAATAAGACAATAAGATTAGATTAAAAGAAAAAAAAAGAGGCTAAACATTGATGCTGAGCAGATGGCAGCGGGAACACAGCTGGTTTTTTAGGTTTATATTTTGGCGTAAGGTATTAACACCCCGGCAGGATGGGCTTGAACCCATTGTGGGGAGGATAAGTTCAGAAAGGATTCTTTTATCCTTTAAACCTGCCAAAGGCACAAGGATTCTGCAATTACAGTAGTTGCATTTTAACCTGTCAGCTTACTAGGAGAGCTGAAGTGGCATCTGTGTTGGAAATAGTGGTTTCTAATTCATATTAGGGTTTGGGATGTTTAAAACTAGCACTAGGCAGCTCTTTCTTCAAAATAAACTCAGAGATTTCTCATCATCTGATTCTGGAGGATTCTTTGCTTTTCAAACAAAAAAAAGTGTTTGAACTGAGTTTTTTTTTTATTTTAATAAAATAATTTAAAGTTGTTTGATTAATTTGCACTCTCGCTTTTATATTGCAGATTTTCCAAATGCATTAAAAAAAGTTCTGCAGAAGGCATTTGAATTATTCATTGTCTGCAGTAATTCCCTGAACTTTCCACTGGAATGCTTCCTGTTTGTAAATCATCTCCAGCTGATTTCATCTGTTTACATTTTTGGATGTTTTTGGTGCAGAACAACACGGATAGTGAGCAGCTTGCAGAAACTGTTGGCTGCACTTTACCTGTAACCAGATCATAGTTCAAATTAGATAAAAGATTAAAAGCTGGCCCAGCTGGGATTGCTGTGTGCTGCCTGAGCTTTACCCAACACTTCAAAGCCTTCTCAGAGAATTTGAAATTAATTTGCCTGATTAAAACTCTGATCCAGCTTGTCCTGACCTGTTCCCTCTTCTAACCTGCTGTGTCTTCATGACAGTAATGTGAAGGCTCTGACACCATGACATGTTTTCAGTTTATGAGGAGGATGAGTGGGAGGTGCCCCGTGAGAAGATCGCCATCTTGAGGGAACTGGGCCAGGGCTCCTTTGGCATGGTCTATGAAGGCATCGCTAAGGACATTGTGAAGGGCGAGGGGGAAACGCACGTGGCGGTGAAGACGGTAAACGAGTCCGCCAGCCTGAGGGAGAGGATCGAGTTCCTGAACGAGGCTTCAGTCATGAAGGCCTTCAGCTGCCACCATGTGGTAAAGAAATAAATGTTTCCATTTTTTTATATCAGTATTTAAAAATAAGAAGCGCTTCATAATTAAAGCCTTTTTTGTTGTTTCCTCTCAGGTACGCCTTTTGGGCGTTGTGTCGAAGGGCCAGCCAACCCTGGTGGTGATGGAGCTGATGACCCACGGAGACCTGAAGAGCTACCTGCGCTCTCTGCGGCCCGATGCCGAGGTAACACGCCGTGTTCATCCATGCAGATGTTACACTTTCTGGTTCTGTTTCTTCCTCTCACTTCTGCTTTTTGGTGGAAAAAATAGACTGCCAGCCCCAGGCTGGGTTTTATTATGCAAATGTTTTATTTTCATTTGTGTGTGTGTGTTTGAGGGGATGCTTTATTTACGTCTCCATAAAAAATACTTAAAATTAAAGAATATTATTCTAGATCCTAGACAGGAGCATAAGCTGCAGACTGGCTTTAGGAGTCTGTTCCCTACCGTCTGATCAGGATGTCAGATCTAAAATCTATGAAGGAAAATTGGTTCTTTAGTGAAGCAAGGGTGGGGTCTCATTCCGTTTAAGCCTAAAAAAAATAATAACCTTATGTTTTTTCTTCACCAGTCTGTCCTTAGTTGGCTCTAAGTTTGAGAATGATACCAGTGGAGCCACTCTGTGAACCAGAACGACTTTATGCAGATGCCCTGTTGCACTTGTCCTAACCCCGAAGGGACCAAAGAGCACTTCTTGTTAGTTTGATGTGTGACAGTCATAAACCTGTGACTGCCACACTTTACTGCTCAGGCTAAAAATAGGAGGAAACACTAACAGTAGAGTTTGGAGGGGATTTTTCTTTAGTTTTGTGGGATGCTGCCTTCAGATCTGGTTGTTTCTCGTTCCCACAGGGACAATATTTGCAGGTTTTACATGATTTTAAATGTAATAATGCTGGCTTCCAACAACAGAATACAATGCAAATAGATTTTATAAAGTGAAAGCTTTAATAGCTAAATTACTGTTTCCAAATATATTTGGGCGAATTTTTCACTATTTTTTATTGTGTGTCCCTTCTGTCCCACTATGTCTCTCCTTAAACCCTAATTTTCTTCAGGTTTTATTGTGTGCAGCTTCCTTTTTCTCACCAACTTGCTCCACATTCTAGAATGTTGCAAGAGAAGCAGTGCTGAATTTATGATTAACATTACCTTTAAATGTGACGAAAGGCGGCTAAACTTTTGAAGGTTTTGTAACCTTCAATGACACAGAAATAAACCTTAAGCTGAAGCAGAGATGAACAAATAATGTAGCAATGCCTGCCATTTCCCTCTTTCTTGACTTTTTTCATATGTGTTTCTAAAACTCAGTAACCTTTAACATTTTAAAGAAGGTCACAAGTGTCTGGTGTTGGTAGTATCTGCTGCTGTAAGAGTCTATCTGGCTAAATATTATAAAGGTTCATAAAACATGAAATTAATTAGCCAACAATCACTGCTCTCCTGTCTTTGTGATATAATTGTTGCAAACTGATATTATGATGATGAAATATTTGCAATATATTCCGCAGCTTTAAACTGAAATCATAACTGCTTTACAAAGTTTTTACCAGATGAAATAAATTGAAATGTTTCCTTTAACCTGTTGCTAAATGGAACCAACAGAAGCTTTTTTGCTTAAGGTAAATTTTCTGCTCCCTAAAGTTTTGATGAGATGGCTGCACTCTGACCTGAACGACTCAATCAACGACTAAAATGTTGATTCATAACTTTTGCAGCCCCTTTGGTTATACGTTTCTACAGCCAGTTAAGCCGCTATATCACCTCATTAGGCTCGGTGGTCTAATTTCTGCATGTGGACAGATTACCTTCGTGTGTCACCTTTTCTGGTAAACATAGCCGGAGCCTTGGTAGGAATTGGCAGAGGACCGAGCTGCCGGATGTTGACAGAGGATTTAACGAGCCAGCTCTGGCGCCAACTAAACGCATGGCAGAAAAAAAGAGGCTGTTTGATTCAGATGGCCGCTGCTGGCTCACCATAGATCAGACATCTAACTTCTGTCTTATATCCCACAGAATAACCCCGGGCGCCCGCCGCCAACTCTGAAAGAGATGATCCAAATGGCTGCAGAGATTGCTGACGGCATGGCTTACCTCATCGCCAAGAAGTTCGTCCACAGAGACCTGGCAGCCAGAAACTGCATGGTCGGTCATGATCTCACGGTCAAAATAGGAGGTACGTTTTCCGTCAGCTTTCCGATGCCGCCCCCTGGAGGCTGTATAAAGTGGTACAGCCGGGTGAGATCTCTAGAACTTCTGCAAAAGTTGTTTCTTCACATTTTACCAGCACAGATTAACATTGTAGTGTATATGAAGCGGCTTTCATCCAAAACTTTTGCTCTAGTTTTATTTGAGTCCCTGATATTCCTATAAAAAAAAAAAAAAAATCATCCCCTCAGCATGACGCTGCTGGTTCTATTTCCCACTCGGGAGATCATGTGGTGTGCTCATTGTTTTCAATGTAGGCCAAAATCGTTCCTTACTGATCTTACATTCATCCTCATGTTTGCTGTGTCGCCTATATGATTTGTGAATCTCTGCAGCTCCTCCAGACTCACCTTTGGCCTCTCAGTTTAGATGACATATCTTGTTAGGTTTTCTACTCTCCCTGTCCCTCGGTGATGGACTGAATGGAGCTCTAGGAGATGTTCAATATTGTTTTATAATCCATCACTGATTCAAACCTCTCTACAACTTACACTGCAAAAATTGACATCCAAGAGTAAAAATTAGTGTTGCACCGATACCGATACCAGTATCAGACAGGGCCCCGATACTGCCCTAAAATGGTGGTATCGGTATCGGCGAGTACCAACAAATAGGGCACCGATACCATTTTGAGAGCCATAAGTTTATTCAACTATTGTCACCCACTCCTGGTAGGCAATAAAAAGTTCTACTGGATTCACTTTGTATTAGATTGTTTCCTGCTTCACAAAGGTAGGCAGCAGCTTGACAAAGCCATGATGGTAATTATTTTACATTATTATGGTATCAGTATCCGCCAATACTGAACAGCCAGGTATCGGGTATTGTATCGGGGCCAAAAAATGGCATTGTCGCAACACTAGTAAAAATACTCACTCCATTGGCAGATCATCTTTTCTTATGTACTTAAATAAATGGCAGGCATTTTTTTTTTGAGATTTTTGTTTATTTTTAGTTCATTTCTGCATTGTAAAGGTTTTTGTTGCTAATCCAAAAGCCCCCTTGGTTTGGAAGTGTCTGAACTTCTAAGGCTTTTGTTTGCTGCTTTCTTTAAACTGACATTAAAGTGACTTCCAAATGGAGTTGATCTTATTAAAGGGTAACAACTAAAACATTGTTCATTGTCCTTCCACTGCACAGTACTTTCTGTTGCATACAATTCACAAAAGATCCTCTGAACATGTTAATGTAAAAAACAGGAAAATATGAACTTTTTCAAAGGCCTTCTATAGGATCCAGGTAGCAGTTTGCTGCACTAATGAACTTTAACATTTTTCAGGACGTCTAGTTTTTGTGTCATAGTTTTGTAAACTCATCACATTTAAAGCACCACAGGATGAGAAAATGTATCTTCTGAAATATGTTGAGAGATTATATTTACCATTTGGACAGCAGCAAACGAGGATTCCTATCAAACATGGTTTATAAAAAGCTACAGCCACTGTTAACTGTGTGTATGAAGCAATTTTAAACACATCAGTTATGAGGAAACATTTCAGTCTCAGAAAGCCGTTGGTGCGTCCTGGATTGAAGCCTTAATGATGAGTGTGACATCATATTTTCCCCCAGACTTCGGCATGACGAGGGACATCTATGAGACTGATTACTACAGGAAGGGAGGGAAGGGCCTTCTGCCCGTCAGGTGGATGGCGCCAGAGTCTCTGAAGGATGGCGTCTTCACTGCACATTCAGACTGCTGGTACGTACATGTTATATAAAGAACAATAAACCTCGAAAAGAGACCAGAACAACAACCTGTAAGGCCATTGGGAATGAGAATCATTCAGTGAGCTTTAATTCACTAGCTCTGTTTGTGGTCTGCCTGCCTCCTTCCTCTTCAGTCTGTTCAGACAGATTTAGTCCGTCAGCTGTCTAATCAGACTGTCCCCGATCTCTCCCTTCTGTTTAACAGGTCATTCGGGGTTGTGTTGTGGGAGATCAGCACCCTGGCCGAGCAGCCGTACCAGGGTCTGTCCAACGAGCAGGTCCTCAAGTTCGTCATGGACGGGGGCTCCTTGGATCGGCCCGATAACTGCGCTGACAGACTGTAAGTACGCCTGCCAAACCCCTTTATCACTATACTGAACGTTAGGTCACATCTAAGCAGAGTGGGCCTGCTTCTACCCATCAGAGACCTTTAGAAAAAGACATTTGGCTTCAACGGATATTCAGGAATCCATCGTTTGGAAAAGTGCTGAACGTGATTTTAGGGTTTTCCATAATAGATAAAGAGAGTTGAGTTTGGAAAGTATATTTAATTCTCCATCGTAAAATTCTTGTCCTTCACTCCAAAAACTGAAATCCTTAAATTGGTGCATTTTTCATGAGTTAAGCAGGTAAGTGAGACACTCGCCAATGGAGTAAGACAATTTACATTTAATACAAGAAAAGAACTGCTTTTTTCAAGTGCTCAATATCTAATTATTTTATTCTAAGAATAAAAATACTCATTCCACTGGCAGACTGTACTAGTTACCTCCTCAAATTAAGGGTAAATACACTTATTTTAAGAAATGTTTGCTCATTCATTTTGCAGTGTTCCTTCTTCCTCCCCTTATTCCATGTGTTCTTCCATCTTTCATTCTTTATTTCCATCTTTATTTCTTTCCTATTTATATATTTCCTGTCTTGTATCTCCTTTTTCCCTTTGTATCTTCCTTCAATGTATTTCTATCCTGTCTTTCCTCCTGTGGGTCATGCCTTCCTTGATTCATTGTGTCCGTTCTCTATTGTAATCCTTCCTCTATTGTAATCCTTCCTCTATTGTAATCCTTCCTCTATAAAGCCTGCAGAAATGTGGAAAAAACAGAACAAACTGTGAAATAAAAACAAGCACCCAAAGTTTCTAAATAGTGTCTGAACTCTGGCATTTATCCAAAACAAGTCGTCCATCAGGATGAAAACCAGTGGTGCTGAGTTTCCACCTTGAGTTTTGGACATTAAGTCATTATGATGTGGCAGATGATTCGTCCATTACCACGCTTTATAAATAACGTTTTGAAGAAAACGTAGTTATTCTATGCTTCAAACTTCAGGAGGATTTTATCTCTCTCTTTGTCTCCTCCCACAGGCACAACCTAATGCAGATGTGCTGGCAGTACAACCCCAAGATGCGCCCCACCTTCCAGGAGATCATTGAGATGCTGAAGGAGGACCTGCATCCCTCCTTCCGGGAGGTCTCCTTCTTTTACAGCGAGGAGAACAAGCCGCCAGAGAGCGAGGACTTTGATCTGGACATGGAAAACATGGAGAGCATCCCCCTGGACCCGTCATCGTACTCCCAGAGGGAGCAGTGCTCAGACAGGGACGAGGCCTCCTCCGTGGGCCTGAGGGGCAGCTACGAGGAGCATCACATCCCCTTCACGCACATGAACGGAGGAAAGCCCAACGGACGGATACTGGCACTGCCACGGTCCAGCCCCTCCTAACACATCACCACCACCACCTCAATGCTATAGAATAAAGTCTATTTTTGTTCTCATTTTATATATAGATCCAACTTTTATCACTTTGTCCTCAGAAGTCCCTCAACACATATCTCAGGACCTTTATTTTTCTCTCCAGATGCCACAAACACTACAGCAGGTCCACACACGGACCCCACAAGACACTTTTTGTATTTAAGGACAAACCTCCTGTTTCTCTGTTCATGATTGTACTTTCTATACTGTATGTGAATATATATATATATATATATATATATATATATATATATATGATGCCAATGTTGTTGTGTACTGGGTGGATTTTGGATTCAACTGTGAAACAAACTCTTGGCAAACAAGAAGGCTGCTATAACCCACCTATCCCTCCTTTCGTCCAGGCCACGTCCCTTTTCCCCTCATCGGTCCCGGAGGTTTGCTACGCTTTGGGAGGGGATAATAAGTGCCCTTCTCTTTCTGTCTGTGGCCTACACCCGTTGTCATGGAACTGAGTCTTTGTATGCACTCTGATATGAACTGAAAATGGGAAGAAAAAAAAAAGAAAGAATAGACTGCTGGATGGTCCAAAGATGATCCATCCTGAAACAAACTGATCCACTGGAGAAGCTGGTTGAAGCGGCTGACCTCCTCACACTGCAGTATTCCAAAAAAAAAAAAAAAATGGCACACAGGATAAACACAAGACTTCTTATGTTTTTTATTTATTCACAAATCTTTTATTTCTCCCCTCCCTCATATATTTTATGTTTTCACCTTTACAGCTGAAGGATATTTAAACTATTTTCAGAAACAGGATGGCAAACAGATTCATCAGATTTACCAATAGTTGTTTTTTTTTGGTATATTTTAGTGCGTATAGAAGTTCTGAAATATAAATATCTAAATATATATATATATAAAAATCTTATATTGATGTTTTTGTACATAGTTGATATTTTGTCATTCTTTAGGTATTTTCCGGTTAGATAATGTTTTTACATGTTAGTGTCCTATGTTTATTTTTTCTAATCCAGAAAATTTACTAATTAGCTTTTTTTTCCCTGGCTGATGATCAACCAACAGCACTTGTTGTTTTTTGTTTGTTTTTTTACAGTGTGATGCCCGGGAGGAGGAAAAGGAGTGTTTGTTGTCTTCAGCTTTTAAATATCTGCTCATCATATCAAGATCAAATAAAAATAGAGCTGTAAATAATGCAGCAAGGTGCATTTGTTAGAATCCTGTTTTTGCTTGTTCTTCACCTGCCTGTTGAGATTTCATTGATTTCATTGGAATTACCTACACCACATGTTGTACAACTTATTTGATTGATGAGTTTTTTCTGCTGATTGATCATTTAAAGTTTAGAACTTTTTTAACAAATGCTCGTTTTTTTTTTCTTTTCATGGATTCTCAGTCTTTGAGGCTGGAAGGCCTTCCTGGCCATAACCCTAATCTTTCACTCTCCCCAGATACTGCCTTGGCCATTCCAAAGTATTACAGCACCTTAACTCAGAAGAAGCATGTTTCTACTTTTATAGAAATTAACATAAATCTGCCATGAATACTTTCAAGGTTTATATATAACTTGTTTTTTTTTTTTGCTTGTTCCCAATTCAGGTGCAACTTTCAAAACCTATATACAAAAATCTTTTTCTTAACAAGGAAAAAGTACTTGTTATATTTACCACTAAGCATGACCAGATGTTTGGTTAGCATTCTTTGATAGCCGCTCCTCCAAGGATAAAATGGCTTCTAAAGATCAGCTTCAGAAGAATCAGATCTTTCATAAATGATCAGATAATAAACTCAGAGGGAAATGTTGGTGGTACAGTGACTCGGTTTAATGCAGATCTGAAAAAGATTTTAGCAGCTAATTGAAATGGGACAGATATCTATGAAAAGGTAGGCTTCAGAGCAATTTAAAGCTGCATTTAAACTAATCACTACATTAAAAAACTGTGGCAGCTTTTGGTAACTTGATTTGAAGTATTACAATGCAAAAACAATAAAAAACAAACACACTGACATGATCTCCCCTAAACACTGAAAAACTTGGACACATACCAGCACACCTGCCAGTCCCCTGGATCAGATTAATTGGTATAAAACTTTCTAATCACTGAGAATGTGATGATAAAAAGATGATGACCTGGATCTCAGATCATTTTTGTTCTTCATGTCTTTTATTTTTCTTTATTTTGAACATTTGAATTATCAACATTAGAGAACAAAATATTGAACAAAAGCAACTGATAAAAAAGAAATATGGAAAAAATAAAACTACAAAGCAAAAAGAGGAGGAAGAAGAAACCTAATCTGATCTGTTCTTGAAAGACTTTCTAGCAGGGATGAAATACTTTCAAAGAAGTGCAGCAGCGCCACCTGCTGTTTAAAACTATAAGAGACACTGTCTTCAATTGAAATGAGAAGCATGATGCAAAAATCCCAGTTTATTTACAGCAGATTTACTTTTCCATATTTCACTGAAGTGCACCCAAAGTTTACTAAAAATAGACCCTAGACTCAATAAAGGTTATTTAAAGAGGCCCTGATGGGACATCATGATGCCTAAGGTCCTACTGACACTCCAAGATGAAAAAAACAAAACAATTTTATTCATGGCAGGAACCAACTATGTCTCTGACCATGACTGTGTTTTCCTGTGTGGGAAAGTCATATAACATTGCTGATTGATAATTGCTGGTATTACAAATCAGATAAACTGGTTGTAATTGTTCAAGCATTCAGTTTGGACAAAGTGTCAAAGTGTAAATAAATATCTGCTTATGCTTTGAGAACATTTTCTTAATTATCTATTAAAGAAACACTGAACTTTATTTTATTTAAGTAAGCACACATATTTATCATTAGGTAGCGCATTTTTCTCCTGAATGTAAAGTTAGCAACGTGGTTGTACAAAGGGTATAGAGTGGCTTTTAAAAAACTGAGTTTAAATGAGTTATATAGTGAGAACATATTAGATCATCACTTTTATGCCAAACAATTTAACAGGAGAAAAAAACTGGCAGAATTACATCAATAAAATGTAAAAAAGATTACCATACCCACCTATAAACTAATACTTGTTTAATCACTCTAGAGTTTATCCTTCTGTATATTCTTTTTGCTTTTAAAGACTTAAGAACTCTAAAGTTTTGAATCAATGGGGATGGACACATTTATTTTAGAAATTTATATTTTTCGACCCTTCAATGCTGTATATAGGAAATCTATGAGTGAAAGATTTCTATCAGATTAAAGTCAATCACATAGAAATGATCTGTTGATACTTTACAGACATGACACAGGAATCTCCTTTTCTTCTTCGAAAAAATATACAGCCTCAAAGTTGGTTGTTCTATAAGAAAATATCTTTCCCCTCTTCTCTACAGTACCGATACTTCCTGAAGAATTCTGCTTTTTGTTTTGTTTATTCTCATAGAGAAGTTGGTTCTCAGCCAAAGTTTGAAAAACACTCCATCCTTAGTGCTGCCATTTCTAAACAAGCTCTGTGCTGGTAGCAACCCAAATCTATTTGCTCAATCGTTGTTTAAAGATATTGCACTACTTGATGGACGACCCTTTAAGCTCTCAGTGATCGAGTAAATAATCTATGGATCCCTGTTAATACAAAGCGAATAGGACAGTGCGTGCATTTGTTACCAACAAAAGGAAAATGATTGCATACATGTTACAGCATCCACTATGCTCTTCTAATTCAATCAGTGACAACCTGATGCCCTGTTCAACACTTGAAACAAATACTTGTCCTTTTAGGGGTTAATTTTCATTTTTAATAAATTAGCAACTTTGGGAATTCATATACATGTAAAAAGAATAACAATAAAAAACGGAATAAATGCATATCTTACTATTTCAAATGAAACTAACACTAAAATAATATAATAATCAATTATATATATATATATATTTATATTTATCTATATATTTTTTTCTTATTTCAGTATGTGTTTTTTTATTTCTTTTAAAATAACTTATTTTTAAATTGATGATAACCTTGAAACCTAGATCTCTAATAAATACGAAACTGACTTGCCATACTTCACGTTAAAGAGCGCTGCCCGTTTAACAAACATGAACCTTGTGCTGCGTTCACTGTCAGTGTGTAGAGAATCAAGCGGGCGCCAAGTAGAGAGAGAGAAGAGGCTGGGATTTCTCTAAAAACACTCCCTTTCTCGTCCAACCTCCCTTTTTCATTATTTGTACACTTGTTCCCCCGAAGTTATCTTCAGAGTTTTGTTGTTTTTTTTTTTTATTTTGTTTAGAGATGTAAAGTCGCTCTAACTTTCGTCTGGAGGTAAACAGAAGAAAGTTGGGTTTCGTCTTGGACTGGTCCTTCTGGTTCAGGTTACTCCGTCAGCAGGTAAGCTTATTGGTTTGGGGACATTTGGTTAACTCATGGTGGGTAGCTAACGCTGAACAACGGACAGGAAAAATAGTAAATCTGCCTTTGAGTGTTTGACGTTTAAGTTTATTTAAATCGACACGTGAATGAAGACATTTAAACAGACTGATTTAATTCTGGGACCCAAACGTCTCCCTTTTTGTAACCGTTGGAAACTGTTGGGCTCCAGGTGTTTGCTAACATCACCTGCTGCCACTCCTGTTTCTACTCTTCTCTCTGCTGCCTCAGCTCTCCTCTGCTGACACCACCGATGGGAAATGTTCTGAATCCGGGTCAGATACTCTCACCTTGGCATTCCTAACATTCTCATCCCATTGGAGCACAGATAGCTGCTCTAACTCCCCTTTATTGACCAACTCCTGCTTTAAATGTCAGTAGTTTTTGCCTCATGTTTGCAGCTTTTAAATGGAAATGCTTTAAAACCAACTGCCTACATTACTCAGTTATATGTTTTCCCCAGTCATGCTTCCATTGTCAATGTAGGCAGTGTAAACATCACACTATGGAGGACCAACTATGACATAATTAACAAAAATTTAATAAATAATATTAATAATATTAAATTACTTTAAAAGTAGCTAATAATATGAGCTTTTGTGCCATTGAATGTGAAAAAATAAAAATTACATATTAACCTCCACTTTTATTTTTAATTTGTTCTTAAGCTGTATGTATTTTTAATTATGTCAGAGTTGGTCCTCCATACATTATTCATGTTGGGACAAAACATAATGCATTAACATAGAAGAAAAAAAACGATTAATGGTTTTCTTCTGGTTTATTTTAATTTGAAAGAAACCTAAATCATGCAGCATGTATTTTTTTTTTATTGGCTGCCTTCTTTACTCTGATACTCTTAAGTAAAATGTATTCATTTTTTTCCGTCATGCTTATCCCAGTTGGGGTCGCAAGGGGTGCTGGTGCCTATCTCCAGCTGTCTACTGGGCGAGAGGTGGGGTACACCCTGGACAGGTCGCCAGTTCATCGCAGTGCAACACAGAAAAACACAGAAAAACCGGACAAACAACCATTCATGCACACACTCACACCTAAGGAAAATTTTCAATAAACCTAACAGTCATGTTTTTGGACTGTGGGAGGAAGTCGGAGTACCCGGAGAGAACCCACACATGCTTAGGGAAAACATGCAAACTCCATGCAGAAAGACCCCGGGCCGGGAATTGAACCCCGAACTTTCTTGTTGCAAGGCAGCAGTGCTACCCACTGAGCAGCCCCATTTAAATCATGCGATCTGCACTAAATATTTATTACCGCAATATTTATTTTAGATATGTTTCAAATATTAAATATACCATTAGATGATTGAATTCGATAATAATGAATTAAAATACATTAAAAATAAGAAAAAAATCTACATTTTTTTTCTAAAAATGATTAATTTAAAAATAAATATAATTACTTCTAAATGTATAAATAAATATAAAGTAAATACGTATTTTTATGCGGGTTCCTTAGAAACTCTACTGTAGACTATCACAGGCTGTTGCATAAATAGCTGCATCCTTGGCTCTGATGGAGGACATCACCAATGGAGACATCTACCAACATGCTGGTCCATGATGTGGTTATTGTCTTGGAGCTCTTTGTAACCGGAGTTTTTCAAAGGGAACTTAGTGACAGGTTGGGTATTTCTCAGTCACTCCTGTATATTGCTCATGTTCAAAAATGTTACCAATAAACTGTGCCTCAATAGGTAAACATCAGGAGCTATTTTCCTAAATGTAATCGGAGCTATGACTGCTCTTGTGCTAACAAATCTGCCTTTGTATAGACAGTATTTTTATTTAAACTATGTGCTATCAATGTCATTATTGTAGTGGTATGTTGGCTGTCTCACATCAGGATTTCTTTAGACTGTAATAATGATAATTATAACTCTTCTATTAATAAAATGTACTGTATATAGGGAACAGATTTAAAGCAGATTTTTCCTGAACTGTTTAAAGGATTTCAGGTTCCATTATAGTGCTGCTTTGGGTGTCGAGCAGAACTCTCTAAAAACCAAGGAGGCAGTACACATAACCAATGGAAATACAGTAAAAGAAAGAAGAATCACTTTACACACACCAAAAGTTGCCTTTTTTATTGAAAACATTATTATCCACGTGATTCTGTGTCTTGGAAACTCTTTAACTTATTTATGTTGCTCTTACCTTTTTCTGTTGGTTGTTTTCCTTTTCTGTTTCTCTCTTTATTATTTTCCTGAAGCAGCAATTATTTGGAGCTCACACAGTTTCATTGCTGTTGGCACCCTCGCTCCCTACTTATTGTGTCTAGTTTTTCTAATGGGCCAACTTCACATAGGTTATGCTTACTACCTTGCATATTTATTTAAAGTCTGGGACTGGACATCTCAAGCAATGTCTGCATTCAAAGGTTGGCATTCTTCCATAGGTATCATTAGATAACCTTAGTTGTTTTGTTGCACATATAATAAATACAAATTTATAAAATTATCTGAAGTATTTTTGTTATTATCTTTTAAATCAATATCTTCTGTAAGGTCAAAAGAAAGTGCCATCAATGTGTGAGAGGAGGTGTCTTTACATTTGTCTTTGGAATGATGGATTTCTCAATTCCAACCACTACAGCAGCATAATCTCACAATTTTAAAACACCTATAAATTTGTAAGAAACAAATTAAATGCATTCCTAAATGTAGGTAGAATCTTCCTTTCTGTTTCTAACTGATAAAATGCTGATGACATATTTGGTTTGTGTTGTTAAATGCCGTGACCTGGGAAACACTGGGAAAACTATTGAGTCCATTTAACTAAAGGTTCTACCTCACAGCTTTACCCCTAGCTGTGTTTCCGTTAACCATCAAATTGCGTAAAATGTAATTATGAAAATAAATTTGCTCAAAGGAAACATTACAATTTTGAAAAAACTCAAGTTTTTCTGTAAAAGGTTTTAATGCTTCTGTGAGTTGGACATTCATTGTATCCAAATACTTAAATTTAGCAAAACTGCAATGAAAGCACTTTTTTCGTATCATGAGTCATGTGATCTACAACTGGACCTTACTGCCTTGTAAAAAGAAGAAGAAGAAGAAGACTGGAATATGCTGGGGAAGATTCTCAGTCATCCAGGTCATAGTCATTCCAAAAAAAGTTAAAAAAAGATCCACTGGACTTTGTTTCCAAGTTTGAAGACGTTCCGCTTCCCATCCAGGAAACTGTTTCAATTCAATGGGCTGCTGATTCATGATGGGCTACTGTATAAAACCTTGAACTTAATGCTATTCCTGACATTTTGAATTGAGAAAGCATCATGGATGGGAAGCGAAATGTCTTAAAACTTGGAAACAAAGTCCAGTTGATTGTTGTTTTAACTTTTTTTTGGCAATAAGACCGGAAGTAGTTTGAAGATGATGCCATGTTGTTTTCAGAGCTATCATCTGAACAAACTTATTCACATACAATTTAGTTGTACAGTGGAATCCGCTTATAGTGATCACGTTGGTCCAGAGCAAATTTGAACACTATAAGCGGTCGATTACTGTATCCAAATTTATTGTTATTTCATTTATTTTTTATACAGAATATCATCAAAGTACCATTTGTGTGGTTTTTAATGAGAAAAATTTAATGAAACGGATAGCTTCCACATTTACTGAATTTTATTACAGTACCATGCAACTTTAATTACAGTATACTGCACTGTGCGCAGACATAACTCTGGTAGCCTGGTGCCGACGGTGCATTCTTTTTAACAAGTCTGAAGTTTCAAACAAACGGTTTCATAGAACAACAACATAGAAGATAACTGCTTAGGCTACCGAAAATTAAAGCTAGCCTACGTCTGTTTTGTGTTGTGGATCTGCTGCAAAGCATTAAGAAATCACTTCACATATTTATTTATGGTTCCCTGGATCAGAGTGTTGTCCAACACCGAGTTCACTTCTTTTTTTAAATGATGTAAAAGGTCAACGTTTTTGAAACTAACGTGCAGGAGACCAGTGAGTCGATGCAATCAACTGGTTTTCCTTAGATAGAAAAGCTTATCACAAATTAAAAAATTGCATCAGGTTAAGTAAAAAATAAAATAAAAATCCTCCAAATGATGGAGATAGAATGTGTCTATTTATTTTAGAAGCAGTTAGAAAGGACAGAACCATGATGCAGTAGTCTGTTTACTTACCACAGGCCACTACAAAGGGAGTAGATTACCACTTTGCATACCAGACTGGAATTTGACATCTCATTTGTTCTTGAAAGATTGATCAGCGCTTTCCTGAAATGATCATATCATTCAATAAGCCTTTAAATGCATTCTTCAGTAATTATCAAACATTTATTGTAAGAAAATATAAAAGTTCTCTGTGACATTTAAAAAGAGATGGCTTTACCTCTAAACACTAACAGATTCTGACTGACATTATGAGTCTAGCACATTTAAAACCAAGCGCTGAAGCACGTGTTTATTCGTTTATCTACAGGTTAATATGTAACCTGTGGTAAAGGCTGTAAAAGGTAAAAGCAGCAGGACAAGTGAGGATGTAACTGCTGATTTCATAATGACATGGATATCCACACTTTTGGTTGTTAAATAAAAAGATAAAACTCAAAAATACAACTGCTTTGAAAATATACAATTAATCTCCATCTCTTAGGACTATATATATATATATAGTTCTCAGAGAACAGAGCAATATAAGGGTGACTAATATATTATAATAATGGTCAACTAATTTAGTAATTGATTAATCGTTAACTGTAATATAGAGACTGTGCCTTTAGCTGACAGAGCAACCCACTTAGAGCAGTAATTATATCAAAATAATATCAAAAATATATAAATATTTTGCATTTAAGATAAAAAAAAAATGCTGTTAATATGCTTTATCCAGAACTCCTCAAAGCACACATGGCAGATTGGTTTGATTAATGTCAAAATAATCTGCATTAGCCTCAAAAAGCCTGTATTGGTCAATCTGTTTAAAAGATCTACGTTAAAATCCTATCAGTTCCTCCAACATGGTTGCAGTTTGGATCTACACCCAACTCTCTCTCATATCAGATTTCTTGCAGGCAATGCTCTCCCGTACTACATGAGGATGTTTAGAGGTGTTATTTTTCCCATTTTTGTTCTAAACGTATCTTGCGTTTCTCCCCTGGAGGCCATCTTGGTGAAAGTTTCTGTTGCACCAAGGTGGTGATTAACACCATATGTTTTATTAGAAGATTCCTCCTCTCTAATATAGATAATTCTTTCAGGTATTTTTTTAATTATTGTTTTTTATAGTACTTTTTGGATTGTGTTGTCACAACCACAAATGACAGTAACTCTTACTTATTCCCTTTCATTCAAGTCGACTTGCCCGTCTTGTTTTCTCCCTTCCAGGGTATGACCTGTATTTCATGCTTCTTTGCTGCTCCTCCTCCCAGTGTGGGTGAACCGTTCAAGGTGTGGCTGTCAGTAGCAACAACAGATCAGACCAAACAACTGCATTGTGGATAAGAACAGCATGAAAGCTGTGAGGGATGCTTTTAAGGAAAACAAAATGATACCAAAGGAAAACTGGCCCAGTCACTTAGAAGTAAAAAGATGTGTGGTTTCTTCATGATACCTGTAACATTATATCTGTAATCTAACCCTGAGAAAACCCTCATGTATGCATACATGCACTCAGCATTAGGACATGGATCAATGCTTTGCTGTTAGAGTGCAGGAGATCTTCAAAAGATCAAAAAAAAAAATTCATGTCACCTTTGTTGGGTTTGTTTTTAGTCTAAAGGTCTTAATACATTCAATTTTTAATCAGCAGTTTTTTTTCTTTCTGAAACCTTTAGGTGGACCGCATTTCTAACCTGGTTTAGGTTTCCAAAATTTCAACAGTGAGATTCTATTTATAGTGTTGTGAAAACATTATCCGGGAGACTTGGTTCCCATGGTGTAAAATAAGTAATACTAGGGAAAGGAAAGTTTATCAGTGGAAGACTGCTCAAACACATCTCATCTTTGCTTCTTTAGAAACCTCTAACACATATCTCATGAACGTCCAGTAAAAAGTCAAAACCGCAAGAACATTCTTCCAGTGTCGCATTCCTTAACCTCAGGACAGAACCAGGAACCACGTATCTGTATCAGATTGGATCAGAAAAAATTAGATTGGTGCATCAATAAAAAGAAAGGTAGATGGAGGTAATAATGGAAATTATTGTTTAAGAAATATTAATGATGATACAAAATATTTTTATAGTGTGCTTCAGATAGGTAACCGATTGCAAAGAGCTACAAAAAAAAGTGATAGACATGAAGCAGTCAGGATTTTGGGAGACGAGCTCCGACCACCAATCAAAAAAATCGGTATCTGCCAATCAACGATCACCGCATCAAATACGTACATTCTTCAACTGCTGCCTCATGTACATTGACATTGTATTATTAGGTACAAGCTTTTGTTAATCAAAATAAAGGACAGTGAAAAAAACCTTGACCAAGGATAATGCGGGAATGCTCTAAAGAGGTTTTTAGGTGGCTTTTAAAAAAGCTGTTTTATTCTAGGCCTAGAAGGACTGTTTCCTCATCCTACCTCCAACATAGACACCAACCACCAGTTGCCTTCTTTCAGCGCCCTGTCCCCCTGCAGGCTCCAGGGGTTAGCTTTTAGAGGTTAGTATCGACTAGCCGTAGCCTCTCACTGCTCATTCTCCCTGGCTGGCTTCTCCAAAGTACTGCTGTCCCTACTCCTCCCAGTATCCTGTGATTCATCCCCCTGTTTTGGCCACTCTAACTAAAACAAGCATGGACCAAGCGCAACAAAAAAAAATGCGTGTCCACTCAGAAAAAATATTTTTTTGCCAAAGTTTGCACTTAACTTTCAAGTGTGGTTAAAAAAAAAAAGACTCAAAAACCGCAGCCACATTTGAGTTTCAGATTTTATAAATCGCTTTCAAACTCAGTTACGGTTTATCTGGGACTGGGTCGTGGAGGCAGCAATTTCAGCAGAGACACCCAGACTTCCCCTCTCCACAGACACCTCGAAATGTCCTCTGGTCCTTCACCTGGTCAGATGTGACTGAAACAGACCTCCTTAAGGAGGCGTCTAGGGGTCATCTGAAACGATGTCTGACTCCTTTCAATGTAGAGGAGAAGTGCTCTACTCCAAGCCCCTCCTGGATGTCTGAGCTCCTCACCCCATCTATCAGGGAATGCTGAACCACTCTAATCAGGAAGATCATGTTGGCTGCTTGTACCGAGGATCTTGTTCTTTCTGTGGTGATCTAGATTTCATGACCTTAGGTGAGGGTAGGAACGTAGACCGCCTGCTAAATCAATTTTAGTTTAAATTCAGTATCGGCAATTTACAGGCACTTTGCAGAGACAACTAAATAAAATCATACAGTCAGATTGGTTGAGAGTTTTTTATCTAAGGAAAACAAGTTGATTGCATCGACTCATTGACTCCTCAGTAATCCCTCACACCGGGCATGCTTGTAGCGACAGTGGAGATGAAAAAACTCCCTTTTAACAGGCCCAGACTCAGTGTGAGCGGCCATCTGTTGAGGCCGACTGGGCTTCAAGGAAACAGATGCAGGCATACAGAAAGAAGCGGAAATAGAGCTGAGATACATCAAGAACTTGGACTTTTAGCTCTGCTCTCCCTTCATCACAACAGACCAATGCAATGTTCGCATTATAGTGGCAGCTGCCCCCATCCATCTGTCGATCTCGCGCTCCATTTGCCCCTTACTTGTGAACAGGACTCCCAAGAAACCAAGAAATCTTTTCACAGCACATTACCTGCTGTTTGTAAAACAGGGTTATGTTTGTTTTAGGCATTGTCCTTTTTTAATTTTAAGCACTACAGAAACATTCTTTAAGAGAAGTTCTCTGTGTGTGAAAGATTTGAGGTGCAAATCATAAGAAGAGCAAAAAAAGTTATTTCTTCCAACTTTAATCCTCTAATTTTTACTTTTAATTCAAAATGGATGACATTGCGTCTGTCTTTACTGCGGCAACACTGTACTTGTCATCCTGTGTCATGGTTGTGCTGCGCTAATGTAGAAAAAGGAGTTTAGAGTTTAGCGGAAGAAGTCCAGATTCTAATTTTCTCTGAATGAAGGTAATTGGCAAAGTTGTCAGAAATACCCTTATAAACAGTGTTGAAAGAATGACCAAAGTGTGTGTGACAGTGCACCATTGTTGCTTTGGTCAAACCCTTGTGTGTATTCTAGGTGTGTCTAACCTTGCATAGCTTTTGCTTTCCAGAATAAATGCTCTAAAAATACAAAGTTTATAATGCATTAGGTGGTATTTGAACATTTTCATCAGTTTAGTACTTAACCTACGATAAATCAGGTTGGTCATTAGGTAAACACAAAGTCAACCCTACATGCAAACTCTGCTTATGATAGATTCTGTTTTATTTCACCTTAAATTTTCCTAGCCGTTATTTCATATCATGTTTTACCATACATATATTTCTTTATGTTTCTACACTGCTGTGAAAAGGTTGTAAAGAAAGGGGGGGGAAGCCTTCACATGAGAAAGGCGATTAATCTGAGTTATATTGTTTGTTTTTCTTTTTGTTCCTCCTATGCGTTTCTTTTAGTTTAGGTCATGTTTTTGGGTCATTTTCAGCTTCAGCTTGTTACAGCAATTCAATTCTGCTCCTGGTTGTTTTTTTCCCTTTCAGCTGGTCTGACTTGAGTTGAGGCGTTGGAGTCTGTCAAACCAGTTTCCTTCTTATGAGACTAGATTCTTTCTGCAGCAGCTTGTTTCACTCTCCACTCACAGTCTTACACATAGTTGTTCTTTTGAAAGTGTCAGCAGACGGGTAACCGATCTTTACTGCTGCATACAGTGATTTGGAAGCAGATGATTTTGGAAAACATAAAGAATGATGAAATTCCTAGTGTTTGTGGTCATACTGTACCGCTTTGATCAGCACATTAGACAAAGCGTCACACTATAAAAATACGTTTAGAATTTTTAGGTTTCATTTTTTTGAATGACATCAGTCATCTCTGACTTGTTTAGTTCTAGTATTTGTCTCCCTCTGTGTTGCTCACAGTTTTTTGAGCTCTGTTTGTTTTGTCTCACAGCTCTGGGGAGAGTGTTTGTCCTCCACCTTCTAATGGCCGACCAGACGGTTTGTATGGACCTAGTATGACTGCCCTTCTCCCAAAGGACCTGACTATCCACCAGCTTCCTCTTCATTCCGATCAGTGAGCTTGAGGTTAGTTTAAAGAGGGAAAAAAAAACAAGTTAATCAGAAATGCAGCATCGCCCTGTAAAGAATGAGCAGCTTGTGTTTTTCCATGTTTTTTCTGGGCTGGGTTGATGTGTTGTCCAAAACAGTTGATTCTGAGTCACCTTTTTTCCATTTCACATGACTGATTTGTTTCACGCTTGACACTAAAAGCATTTTGCATGAAGCAATAGCACTGAATCCCTGCAGCAGTAGTGAGAACCATTTTTTTTTTTGCTGTTGGCATGTTTTTGTGCTGACATTACCATTTAATTGGCCTGACGAGCCTTATCTCATCACATGCCACCTAGACCCAGCGTGCTGCCGATGGATGAGCTTGAAGGCCAGCGGCTGAAGCCTGCTGAGGACTCTGCATCCTTGGCTTCTTCCACAGCTGAGCCGATCAACCTAGAAGGTCAGTTGGATGAAGGGTGTCCTGATGAAAGATCCGAAAAGTTATTAGAACAGCTTCTGCAAATTAAACTTTCATAAAAACAAAAGGAAAGATTGGAAAATTTAATAAAAAGTGAGATTTGCTTGGTTTTAAAACTGTGGCTTATCCACAACATATTTAAAATTCCAAATAAATTACACATTTTTGAGCTTTTTTTTTTTCATTATAACATGTTGTCACCTTGAAGACTGGTTTCTGTTGCCTTTTATTCTTTTGTCACATTTTTTTTTTTTTTGCTTCTTTTAAAGATATTCCCTCTGAGCTGAACTAGACCTTATTTACTTACTATCAGCCCTAATGCCTGTCTGTCTGTCTGTCTGTTTCCAGACTCCCACTATGCTAAGCTCCAAGCTGATCTTGAGTGCGATGCACAGGGTTTGGAGGCGGAGTCCTGGAGCTTGGCTGTGGACCAGAACTACCTGATGTCCCTGAACAAAGAGGCTGTTAAACGGCAGGACGTGATCTATGGTACGGTGAAACAGAAGTTCAGCCTGAATGTGTAAACTGGGGTGTGTCACCTGTCAAATTGTAACCGCCTCTTTACCCTCAAGTCTTAGTCCCTCAAGTATTAGTTTAAATGTCCTTCTAGAAGATTTGCTTGTAATCATACATTTCTACCTTCTCCATCAAAAGTTTCATGGTAAAGGTTTTGGAAATGTCAGTTCCCTAATGCCTTTGTCATTTTCCCCCAGAGTTGATCCAGACTGAGATGCACCTTGTACGCACCTTAAAAATCCTCTTCCACATCTACATGAATGAGCTGAAGCAGTTCAGTGGCTTTGAGAATGCCTTGCTGGAGAGGATCTTCCCTGGTGTGGCGGTTCTGCTCAGCCTCCACCAACATTTACTCAGCTCCTTCAAACTGCGACAGGATCAGAGTCGGGACAGAGAAAATCCAAGTAACTACTACATCACCCAGCTGGGGGATATCCTCATTAAACAGGTAGGGGAAGGCAGTGGTTTAGAACAGCCTCTCTGTTCATCAGGGAAATAATAATAAGAATAATAAAAAACAATATTACACAGAAAAAATAATTATCAGGTTTGTTCCAAAAGCTTTGGTCAGATCATGTCTTTTGTTTATGCTCCACTTCTGACAGTTCCAGGCTGTTTCTACTCACCCTCTCATTTCTACCCTTATCTCTCTGTGTTTCTGCTGTTTACAAAACACTGGTACTTATAGGGGTTTCTGGTACGTCTGAGACATTTTACATAACACCAATGGAGGGACTGCTCCATTCCTAGATATTTAATACTTTGATAAATGCTTCTAGTTGCCAAAGATTTTATTTTGCTCAAGAAAAAATACAAAATGACCAGAGATGCACCGACCACATTTTATGGCCAAGGCACAATCTGCACTATGACCTGCTGTTAATCTGATTAAGGTTATTCTTTAGAAACTATAAAGTGGGAATAATCCAGACCCAACATTGTCTGCTTTATTGTAAAGTAGTAAAAAAAAAAAATACACATCTTTATAATAAAATGTCTATAGTAATGTATAATTAAACATTTTAAAATGATAAATGGTACTATTTTGCAAGAAATTATAAGTGAATAAAATACTGATATTTGTCAGAGTAAAGGGACTGATTTACTGCCAGCAGAGCTGATTAGTTTATTTAAACCTTCTTACAGTAAAACTCTATTAGAGCTTTAAGGAGCTTCTCCTATGGACAGACATTAATTGAAACCCATTTCTACATGTACTTTATAAAATAATGCAGAACCATTTCCTTTCAAACCTCTAGAAATTAAGTCAGATTTGCTAAGATTATCTGTTAAGATTACCAAAATATTTCTCTTTGCTTTTTCTTACAGTTTCTTCAAATGTTATTTGAAGAATCAAAACTGTTCACCTCCTCCCACAAATGAGATATGGGACTGGGATTGGAGCTTTGTGCTGATTACCCCAAAACATTGACTTTGTTTTCCTTAAAGCCGTTTGTAATTAATGTGGGTTTATTGATAGTCGGCGTTACCTTTGAAGACATCAATATTCTCTCCTGATGTTTTATCTCTATGGTCCATTTTGTTTTGTGAATTTCATAAGTTCCTTTATTACCCCCAAACGCTGGAATTACTAAATAACATGCGAGAAATGATAGCTTCTGATTTTATTTTCTAAGAATAGTGAGTAAAACGGAAATCTTCCCCACATCTACAATGTACGAGCAACAGTTTCCTTGGAGGATGAAATTTAATCAGGCTGTCTCATTTTTCATGTTGATATTAACTAAAAAGGGACGTATCTTCCTTCTCAGTTCAACAGAGATGAACTGATATTAATCCCTTGGTCATCATGTTAGGGTTTCACCTACAGATTTATAATCTGCATTAGTTGGTCGACTTTATATCCAAGAGTTGTTTGTTCTGTCTTTGTTACATGCAAAGTGCTTAGTGTCTGTGGCAGAAGAGATTATGTTTTCTAGTATGAGCAATACATTGGTAATATTTGTTTAAGGTTTTATGTGGTGCTTATATGTGATATAATCTATGTAATCCAATGTGAGCCCAAAGATTAGGACAGAATAGGATAACTCTCTTTCTTGGCTCAGTTTTCAGGTAATCTGGGAGAACAGATGATGTTGGCTTATGGCCATTTCTGCAGCCATTACAGTGAAGCTGTCAGTCTCTACAAGGAACAGATGCAGAACAACAAAAAGCTGCAAATTCTGATCAGAGTAAGAATTCTGGATTCATTTTCCTCTAACAAAGACAGTTAGACTCTTCCAAAGGATTTCTTGAGTTTTAAAAAGTAGGATCTGATTATTGTGATTTTTTTGTTGTTTGAAATGTAGTTAAGTCAGTGGAGAGTCCACAAAGTTCTGAAAGGAAATTGGGAAATAAAATTACAAGATGATTTAAAGTTCAATTACACATAGCATCGACACAAAGTATGATCTTTGATGAATAAGATTTATGTGGTTGGCTAAAAACAAAAACTGCTTTTATTCTGTTTTTCACAGAAAATCGATCAGCTGCCTCTAGTGCGAAGATTAACTATTCCTGAATGTTTCTTGCTGGTGACTCAACGAATCACAAAGTATCCTGTTCTGTTGGAACGGATCATCCAGAACACAGATGGTAAAAATCCTGTTTTCATCAATTTTTACATTTTCTTCCACATTCAGGGTTTCACTGTCAGTTGATGCACTGAAAGGTTCACTGTTTACCAGAAACGGTTTAAATTCTGCTCGGTCAGAAGTCTGAATATTCCAGGAAGACCAAAGATGTTTTTTTTCAGAAGATAGAAGTTTAAGAGTTATCAGATCACGGTGACCAAAGAACTAAAACACTTTTCAACGTGGAAAATAGGCAAACCTGAGAAAATGGGGATGTTCTGCCGCAATAGGCACATGAAAGTAGATGTCTGTCAGATCTATTGACGTAAACTAATCCCCGCCACAATGGTCTGAAGTACCTCTGCTGTGGTGAGCGTGTGGAAGGGAAGGACTTTCAGGTACCTATTGAGTCCCCTTAGGTCTAAAATGGGGTAAAAACCGCCGTCTTTTTTGCCACAAGGAAGTACGTCGAGTAGTAGCCTCAGGGTTGCCGCAGCCTTGATTGCCCCCTTGCCCAGGAGGGCAGAAAGCTCCTGGTCTAGTGCCTGAGATTTTACCGAGTTGGTGATAATAGTCATTTTGACCCGGTGTAACCCGGGTGGGGGGCGCCGTCGGAACTGGAGCCTGTAGCCTTTGGTTACAGTGGCAACCGCCCATGGATCTACAGTATGAGCCCAGAAATTCAGCTGCTGATGGGGAAAAATGTCAGATGGCTGGCCCATCTCTGCCAATCCCGCTGACAACTGCTCCACACTTGTGAACAGGCCCTGGTCAAGTTTGGCCCGCTTCCTCCAGGGGAGGGGCACTAATGCCATGGTCCCACAATGGCTGTTAGAATGGTTGGGGGGAACCACCTGCTCAGAGGGTCGGAGGTCCGAGCACTCCTTGGGGCACGACTGGGCAAACCGAGCCAACCTCACTGCATGGTGCATAAAGCTGCAGTTCATGCAAGGGTTCTCAGACAGCGCCTCCAAAAGGTGCTCACGTCCAAGGCAGGTAGGGCACAGGTTGTGGCCATCCTCTGTCTGCAGGGCAGCCCCACAATCCATGCAGTTGTGGGAACCATCCATGTTGAAGGTCGACATGGCTCAGCCCAATTAAGAAACAAAAAATTGGCTAGAATCGGTAGAGGGGCCGCGAACGCAGCCATCAGCAATTATAGCAGAGTTACGAAAGAGGCTGCAACACAAAGAGGCTGATACTGTGAGAGGGGGTGAAAACCGTTACTGTCATCAAGTATAAAAAACAATAAACCAAAAAAGCTAACATTAGCCGTATCCAAACTTCTGTAATTTAAGTTGGGAGTAGGACGAAAAATGCTGCCGTCACCAATTAGAGAGCAGACCAACAAAAAAGGCTGCAAAAAGAGAGGTTGATATTGGGAGCTGGGGTGAAAACCGCTTCCGTCACAAATTCTAACAATGCAGACCAACGACAAAGGCTGCAAAACATAGGTTGATATCGGGAGAGGGGGCGAAAAAGGCTACTGTCACCAGGTATACAACCAACTTAAAAAGCTAACAACGTTAGCCTTATCCAAACTTCGGCAAGCGAAGTTGATCACACTTGGGAGAGGGGGCGAAAAACGGCTGCAAAAGTAGGGTTGATATTGGGAGAGAGGATGAAAACACCAATAAACTAAAGAAACTAACAACGTTAGCTGCATCCAACTTCGGTAAGTTGTTCACACTGGGAGTTGGGGTGAAATCGCTGCAGTCACCAGTTGTCAACCAAAACAGCACCAAGCTGTAGGTAAAATGGTAGCAAAAAGCCGCAAGCCGGGAGAGGGTGCGCGGTCGCTACTGTCATCAGCAAACAAACTTACCTTCTGTCATCTTCTAGCAGAATTGACCTGTTGCAGCCCTGGGAGGGTGGAGAAAAGCTGCAACTCCAGTCAGCAAGAGACAGGGACATTAACAACTGGAGAACTTGCGAACCGCTTGCGAGAAGAAAATAGGAACAGAGCCAGGATGACACCAGGCTATACAGCTTCTGACTGGTCATCCGGCGTCACAGGTGTGACTCTGTTGATATAATTACCCGAACTGCGCATGCCCGAAGGGAACATTCAGTGCTTTCAGCACCTTTCTCTGGCGTTCAGATGGGATGAAATAGAATTTTCTATTTAAATATTTATTGATCACATTTTCTCAAAGATTTATATTTACACATATTCTTTTAAACCTCCTAAAGAAAAGACAGCGCTGGTTAAACTTGGAATTTGACTTTCCAAGGTTTACAAACGAGGTGAAAATGAGCCACAAAATTCTGATTGGTGTCTCTTAATATGAACAGATTTTTATTTATTTTTTATAACATCAATTATTGAGTTATGCTGTGCTCCTTACAGCCGACACAGAGGAGTTTATGCTTCTGGAGAAAGCTCTGGAGCTGATCAAGCACACCATCTTCCAGGTGGACACTCAGGTGAGTGAAAGTCAGAAGAACGCTCGCCTCAGAGAGATCAGCTATCGTCTGGAGCTGAAGGCTCCGATCCGGCTGAAGGACGGGCAAATGTTCCGCAAAGAGGACATGATGCTTGGCAACAAGACGTTGCTTCGTGAAGGAGCCCTCACCTGGAAGTTGTCTGGTAAACAGAAAGGTTTGTGATGGAATTTTTGAATTTCTTATTAGGGATTACTTTAACTGGGTTGTAAAAGTTTGGCTTCATTCCTGAAAACGATCTTTAATATGCTCAATTAAAATGCTAAGCTGTTCTCTTTTTCTCCTGCAGAAATTCAGGCGGTGTTGTTATTAGACATGCTCCTCCTGTTACAAGAGAAAGATCAGAAGCTTGTATTATCTGCTATGGTGAGTCCAAGTCGACCAAAACTACACAGAAAACTAAACTATCATACCTATCTGCATTACCTACCCCAGCAATGTCCTGCTCTAATGATCAGACAATCCTGAGGATATCAGGTCAAAGTCATAGATTTATTTATTTAACAGGATTTTCTCTTTTTTTTTTTTTTTTCATTTTTAAATCTCATAGCTCTTCGGGTCCTATCAAAGCAAAATTTAGTGTCACGTAGGACATTAGTTCAGTACATGGAAGCATTTGCCTCCACAAATTTCTTCAGTTGTTTGCCTTTTTCAGATTTGAGGCTTTTAGGTGATTAAAGAAACATTATTATAAAATAACTAGAAAAGCTCTCAGAGCGTGCAGACCTCCATCAAGCAGCAAATGTTGTCCCATACCGTGTCTTAGACCTAAAGCTAAAACGTTGCACATGATCTGGATCATAACCAAATTGTATTGAATTGTTTTTTGGCATGAAGTCCATCTTTGGTAATAATTTCCTTAAAATCCCTCATAAGTCTATAAATAAGGAACAGATTGAGACTTTGAGCGAGGCATGGCTCACATTTTCTGTGTTTTTGTCTTCAGTATAACACTTCTGGACTTTTTTGAGTTCGATACTGAAGCTGTCATTTGTCAGTGCTGCCACAATCTGGTTTAGGGGGAAACTGCTTGTTCCACCAAATAATGTTAAAGAATCCTTAAAAAAATGACTGAATCATGATTCATTTTTTGGACTGAGGGGCACCTTTGATTAAAATATCATTAAAATATGTTTACAACTGTTCAACTTATCCCATACACAGACAAAAACAATAACCACCTTGTAAAAATATAACAACCTTGGGGGAGGTAAAATTCACCTGATTAATTGAAGAGGTTTCCCTTTCCCCTACACTGTTTACATTTTGATCACTGCTGCACTTTATAAATGGTAATGTTCATTTCATTGCTAAGCTGCTCATTCCCTGCTGGAAAGCTGAATGCATCAAAATTCTGTTCTGGACACACTGTGTATAGAAGATGACAATAAAGTCTGTTTAAGTCTTAAGATCGAGATGATTTGTGAAAACGATGTGATGGGTTTTGTTGTGCCATTTAGTCATCAGTGGTTTAGATCTTGGATGCTTTTCATACTCTCTTTCTCTCTGTTAAATGAAATGTGTGTTAGGTCTTATCTGACGTGTTCAGATCCTGAGGTCATTGTATGTTGCTGTATTCTTGTCACCATTAGGACAACAAGCAACCAGTGATCTCCCTGCAGAGAGTGATTGTCAGGGAAGTGGCTCATGAGGAGAAAGGCATGTACATCATCTGTGCATGTACCTCTGGCTTGCCTGAAATGTATGAACTCCACGCTGGCACCAAAGAGGAGTGCAAAACCTGGATGGACCTCATACGTGAGGCTGTTAACTGGTGAGCACAGTGCTTCTGTGACGTAACGAGTCATGTTTTAAGTTCAAGAATCATTTGTAACAGGTTAAGCTATATATGTTGATATTTTCACAAAGGGAAAATATTTTTCCACCAAAAGGGCTGTCAGATTAATCAATACTAAAAAGCTGAACTATTCAAAAATACTCTTTTGAATCTGAATCCCCCTGTCTGCAGCTGCACACTTGACCTAACAATGCGCTGCTGCTGGAAGCTGCAACTTCTGCTAACATGGCAAAAACATCCAGAAAAACAAATAAAACATATGTGACTTCCTTTAGCTGACCAGGAAAACTAAAGCTTTGCTTGGATCGGCTTTCTATCTCTGTTAGACTGAAAGGGAAAAACTAACAAAACTGCTACAGGATCCCCCATGCTAGCTGTTTTAGCACTAAAAGTGACACTGATAGTGCAACTCAGAAAGCTTATTACTGAAACAGTGGCTTCACCAACACATGGTGTTAAGTATCCAATAAACAGTGAAGCAATGAAACAAACTAGTATGTTTCTTCTTTACTCTTGTTAACTCATAAGTGGCTAAATTAGCTAATAATAGTGAAGGAAACTGAATCTGATATCAGAAAACAAATCTTTGTTTATTTTAGCTTAAATCTGAAGTATTTTTGTTCAGAAGGAGAAACACTGTCTATTTGCTGCTTTCAAATAAATGTTTAATCATTTAAATTTCGGTCTTTCAGTTACAGAGACACTGAGGTGCAAAGTAAAGTGATGGCTAAACTGCAGCATTATCAAGGTAAGGCTTCTAGGCTTTTTGTTGATGTGTTTAGAACTAATACCTGGTTAACCTCAGCAAAGAGTTAAAAACATAGATTAATTATTGAACATGATTCAGTTTCGGTTTGTTTCCTTTTTTTTCTTTGTTTACTTTTCTGAAGATTTTTTTTTTAACCATAAGAGTAGGGAACTTCATGCACCGTCATCCTTTTCTGTTTTTGGCACATTTTAAACTGTCAGGCATCTTTTCCTAATTCCCCAGGGGAGTTTTCCAATCCTGGAGACCTTTTCTAAAATGTGTTTGATGACTTGGTTACATTCCATGGATTAGCAGATCTTTCATTTGCTTCTGATTTTCAGATTTACTGCAGCAAAGCGACAACAAGATAAGGCAAAGTCTGGAAGAGAAGCAGGAAATCTTTTCCACACTTTATAATGAAGTGGTTGGTCAGGAGGCCCCTAACGAAGGTTTACTCCTGCGAGGTGATGCCTCTGACCTCAAGCAGGGGGAGGCCTTGTTGAATGGAGCCCTTAAAGAGGGTAAGAGCAGAAAGCAAAACAGTTGCTCATGATTCAAAAGATCAGTAGAAACAAAGAGATTAAGGAGTGTTTGTTTTGTTTGTTTTGTTTGTCTTCAGTGGAAAAGTTACAGAACCTGCTCTTTATGAGGATTAAACATACAGAAGTATCTGAAGATGAGACTGACATACAGCAAGGTGAGATCAAGAGAATGAAGAGCTGATCTTGTAGCTAATAGAGTTAATTAAATTTTTTTTATTTAGAATGGATGCTTATTTTAGACCATTTATACTTTTATAAAGGCCATGTACATTATATTATATATAGATAAAACAATTTTTTCTGACACTAAATCACATTGAAATATTCCTGTTTTAGATCAGTTGTTGTAGAAATAACTCATTCTGCTAAATGCCAGAATATTGGTGGAGAGCTTTTTTTTTTGCTTTCTTTAAATTCAGCATTTTCCTACAATGCCTTAGTATTTATTATTTACTTCAAACAGTATGACTTTGAGCATTTTGAGATTTCTTCCATGAACTTCTCACAATACTTTGTTGGATTTTAGTCTATTTCTCCTAGGTTTAAGTAGGTTTTTAGATCATCTTGTTTAAACAGTCCTCTGGCAACATTGACTTTAATGTCCATAAAGCACTTTGTAATTTGGAAACCTTCTTAGATGTAGTTAAATTAGAACAACAAAATGCAAAGCTTTAACTTCCTGGAAAAAAGTATTCAGATGTTCCTTCTTTAATACTTCCGGAATATTTTCTTTACGGATGATACCATCTATTTTGGGAAATGCACCAGTATCTCCTGCAGCCTCCAACCAACATCATGCTTTATCCGCGATGTGGTTGAATAACTCCCTTTTTAACCCCAAATGCATGATGGTTATTTAGTGGAATCCAACATCAGAGTTTCTTTTTTTCAACAGTAGATTTTAGAAATGGCTTCTTCCTTGCTGAGTGGCCTCTCAGCCTATTTGCTGATGAATCCTTAATAAGTCTAATCTCTAAACAGCTTCAGCCAACACTTTCACAAACTTTTGTTCCCGGACTGAAAACATATTTATAACTACTGTGTGTCTGTTTCTGGGACACAGAACTCGTCTCCGTCCTGGATTCTGTCACTCTAACTGGACTTTCCTTTAGTGTTTATGCTCGCAAATGGACCTCTGAACCGTACAAGCCTTCTTTAGACTTCTAGAAATGATTTTCAAGGCTGATCCAGCGTTAAAGAGCACCGTTCTCTTCCTGATAACTTTCCACATAATGTTTCTGTAAAGTCCCAAACAGAGCAGTTGGCCCGCAGCATACCTGAAATACATCCACAGATGGATAAATGTTTGGAATTTACCTTTCTAAGCCATGGTGTCAATGACTGTGCTTTCATAAGCCCTCTATAGTTAAAGTTATTTTATTTGATGACAACTTAGGAATATAGAACAGATTGTCTAAAATATCCTTACATTGGTTTGGCATTTAGCAGATAGCATAAGAAATCATTATTATACTGTAAGGATTGCCTTTGCATCCCCTGCAGCTCTAGCTACTATTTAATCTCCTGGAAGTTGATTCACAGTGTCATTATTATTAATTTATTTTCTTTTCCTGCTTTTTATTTGTACCGTGTTGCCAGATGGAGATAAAGACAAAAATGGTGAACTTGCATTAACTAGCTGTGACCACCTGCTGGAGAACCTGGCAATCTCTGAAGATCTGGAGACGTGTGTACGTAAAACACACGTGAAGGACCTATACTGTGTAGTCTTTTTTAAATTTTTTTATACACTATTCTGACCGTATTTATGTTCTGTTTTAGGTTGATGATGAAAGTGAAAACCAACCAGAGCAACACTGTGGTTCAACCTCTAGTGTTTTCCTTAGGACAGAGGTAACTCCTCCCACAAACACAGCCTTGCAAAGGAAATCATACCTTTTTTCCACATTTCTGCTCACAAACTACTAAAGGCAGTGTATTATTATAAAAAGGAAGAAAGATTTCATTCAGAATGTGAATGGAATTGAACTGAAATGCCTCTGTAGTTTATGCCACCCTTGCTTGTAGACTAAATAGTTTAAGTCTTGTGTGGCTGGAGGATTTTCTTCCAGGTTTTCTCTGGCTTCAAACTAACTAAAGATTAGATTTTTTTTGTTCCCTTTAACAGTCCTTATTTATTGGCCATGTTCCCAAAAAGGCTATACATAAATAATGGACAACTAAGATGGACCCATCCAGCTATGCTCTGCAGCTCCTTCAGAGTTGCCATAGCCTTCTTGGTTGTGCTTGATTTTATTTAGAGGGATCATAGTAAGGTGGGAAAGGGGTATGGCTACGTTTCTCTTTCTTTTCTTTAAAGCCATCCACTATTTTTTTTTTTTTATGTGTCATCTAAATGGCTTTGAAACTTATTAGAAAGAGTTTAAGGAGTGGAAGGTTTTGCAAGGCACTATACTTCTCCTGCTCAGCATTTTCCTGTTATTTCACCGTATCTGATTATTTCACTGTTACTCTGTAGGTCTTTGATAGTGTTCAGAATCTTGCACAGAAGCTCTACAGTTTACAGGTAAGTGGGAAGCATCAGTTTTTTTTTTAAAGTCAGCCCTGCTCCAAATCTGTTTCTGTAAACCTTAAAGATGTCCTTGCATTTCTTTTGCCAACACTATATTTGGTTTTACTGGGTGCAGGCAGTCGTCACGCAGCAGGACAGCAGGATTGAACTACAGAAGATCTTCATGTCAAAGAGCAAGCTGCCCGTCCGTAGCAACAGCAACGTGCTGCTTGAGCAGGAGAAATATCGCAATTTGGAGAAGCAAAAGGAGGAACTGGCTAAACTGCAAAAGCAGCAGGTGCAGCATCAAGCAGAGCAGCAGCGCTGGGAAAAAGAAAAGGAGAAGCAGATGAAGCTGATGGAGAGTCAGGAGGCTGAGCTGCAGCAGCGGGTGGAAGAATGCAAGAAGATGGAGGAAAAGCTGACACAAAAGGATTTGGAGCTGAAGAATCAGTGGGAGACCTACCAACAGGACTTGGAGAGACTGAGGGATACCACACAAAAGTTGGATCGGGAAAAGGAGCTGATTAGTCAGGAAAAGAAACGCTTGGAAAAGATGAAATCAAAGCTCATCCCTAATTATGATGATCCAACACGGGTGAGACTAAGAAAATTTTATCTATATTATTTTTTAGAATCATACGTTTTCTTCAGAGTCGTGTGTTTTATTAAACGAATGTCGATGTCCTTCTTTCATCCCATTGCCAGTCCTCCACACTCTTCCCTTTCCCATCATTCAGGAGCACCATTGTAAACGGAGGAGCGACCCAAACCCTACAACGTAACCCTTCAGTCTTAACTAGTGATTTCCTCGATCCAGACGACCCTCCTCCACGAGTTCCCCCCCGGCGGGAGAGCATCAGTCCCCGCTCAAACAAACAGAAGCTGCCCGTTCAGTTGATCAGCGCCACCAACCAGGTGCAGAAACCTGCAGAGGTCCAGCAGAAGATCCCCAAGAAGCTGGCTGCCGAGTCCAAAGCGAGGGAGAAAACCTTAAAGGCCAAGCGCACCCACAAGAGAGCTCACAGTGCAGGTCAGAGTTTGATTGTGTGTGTGTGGGGGTGTGATGTTTAGTTGTTTGAAAATAGTGTAAAACCAACGCCTGAACCAGGAGCTGCTAACACAGGCTGTCAGTCTGATTCTGTCCGTTTCCTCTTCAGCTAATCTAGACTTCACCAACGTGATGCCGATCCGAGCGACGGGGAAAGACGGAGGCAGTTTAAGAACCCAAACAAACACTGGTCAAAGAAGAGCCCTGAGTTCTGGTATGAACCGAGAGAAACTTTCTAACTGTAAAACCGTTTGCACTAATATGAGTCATCTTAATCACACTTTTGTTTTGATCCAGTTTCTTTTTTATTTCTATTGCTCCTTAATGTTTCTAACGTTCCTATTGAATCTTTTCTCAGTTTAGCAGATTTACAAACGTTAGTTTTAAATGCTGCAATGACCTACTTCAGCATATATTTCCTGCCCCCAGATACCTTCAGGTCGACAGGACCCAGTCAAAATGTGAAACCGTCTCAGTCATTCCTCGGACCGAAGTGGAACGACATCACTCCTCCTCCCCCGGTGCCGCCTCCTTTCCCTAAAGACATCAATAGCAAAGACATGGAGAAGGTCATAGTTCTCTAAAGGAGCTACAGGATGTGTCCCACTCAGCATGCAGCATCTCCAGGATGACCTGCAGGACATTTTTTATGCTGATTTTAAACAAATGTTGCACATTTTTCAGGGAGAAAAAATATGGAAAAAAGTTTGGCCTTTTGTAATTATGATAAAAATCTATTTTAAATTTTTATTTTAATACACAAAGACTCAATTGTTTTAATGAAAGCAGGTCTTGTTTAACTGTCCAGTACAGTAATTATGTTTATAGTTTTGTTTTATCAAGTTTACATCTGTAAATATAAAGGGGCTTCAGATTTCTTCTATTTATCTGCTTCTCAGTTTGTGTTTGAATCCACTTGTTAAAGAAAACGATCCATCTATGCAAATGGAAGCAGTTTGTTGACTCCATTTCCACACAGTGTTATAATAATATTGTAGGTTTTCTGACTCGCATATCACCGTTTCTGACCGATGTACGATGAAAAAACATAAGAAATTTCTGGTGGAAACTTCAGCTGAACAGTCTTGCAGTTAAAATGCTTTGTAGATCTAAAACACAATCCTATTTAAAACTGGGGGTGCTTTCATGATGCATTGTTTGTATTTGAGCATCTTCCTCTTCCATGAATAGTTCTAAAATTAATATTTACCTTATTTATTTTGAAAACCACAAGAGCAGAGAAATCAAACTCAACGTATCTTTTTAGAAGCATTATCTGGAAAAATAAAAAGTATTTAGATAAAAAAAAAAAAAAACAATCTAAAGATTCACCTTCTGTATGACAAATCTTAGGTGACCTAATTCGAAAGGTGAACTTTTGATGTTGTTGGTTCATCCATCCGTTTCTCATATTCACCATTTTTTGTTTTTAATAAAAAGTCCATCCATTCATCTACTTAATGATCCAATAACCATCCATCGATCTATTTTGTATTCATCCATTCATCTTCTCTCCACCTGAATCCAATTTTTGGGCAGATAAATGCTTATAAGCTGTTCCTCTCTAACATTTCCATGTTCTCATGGAGAGGACAGTCCATGAAGATGCAATCTTACTTGCTTAGTCTCTTTAATTTGCCCTAAGGTCAGCAAGCATGGGTTTTTGTTTATCCTGTGTCTCCACCTTTTTTCTGCTGAAGCTCTTAGACACAACCTCCTGGCCAGTCAACCAACAAAAGCCGGTTCAAATCGCTGGAATATTTTTACTTTTTAAAACGGCTAAAATGGATGAACAAACCTGTAAAGGTTTTTGATATATTTTTTTTAATTCATCCTTTTAGGTAAAATTAGCAGCTACCACTCCTTAAATGCCCTGCAGGTTTTATTCTTTCCATAATGGGCCAGCATTTTTTAATTGATCTGCTAAAAAAAAAAATCACATTTTAATAGATTTGTTTTGTATTTTCTGTCGAAAATAAAATGAGAGTAGAAGGCAGAATGAGTGCTCTTTGAGCAAAGCTCTGAGGCAGACAGTGTTAGTCAATCAGAACGATCCACAGTAAATGGACTCCCTCTGTCCTCTTTGAGGGACTGCTGCAGCCACAAGAGGCTCATTGTCAGGCTGCTGTCCATCTTTTCAGAGACGCTCGACTGCTGCAGAAGGAAATGACATTCAGAACCAGAAACCACTGGTAGCATTTAGAAACACTGCGCCTTCTAAAATCCACACCCGTTGAACTGTTTCACAATCTGTTACAGGCAAAAAATGCTCATTCATTTTATTTTTTGATTGACTAACAGAATGGCCCAGAGGTCAAAGGTTTACCTTCCAGAAGAACAACTCTGTAATAGAGATTTGGAGCTAGTAGTGGTTCTACAAAACACTGACCTAAGGACTCACTAGAAATCAATGCAAAACATTCCAGAAAATCCCCTATTTTTCTAAATAAGTCGTTTTTATTTCCCTTCCCTGAGATGTTAACGTATAGAAGGATAAAATAGAAGACAAAAATTCATGTTAAATACATTTCTTTCTTTATTACTGTATATTTAACCCTCAGAAGGATTAAAAACCACTTGGTGACAACATAAAGTATACTCGTGATCATGTCCTGTAAAACTGACATATCAGCTGCCCACATAAAATATATTTTTACCACAACCCAGTCTCTTCCACACACACACACACACACACACTTTCTCAGCAATTAACCAGACATTAGTTCATGCTAACTGACTGCTGGGTTCGGCTGTTTGTTATAATCCCAGATCAGGAGTGCAGGAATACTGTACATATTTCATTACTACATTAGTTTCCACTTCTTAAAACCTTTAATAATAGATACAAACATACATGAGCAAAATAACTGATATTGATTTAAAGAAAAAAAAAAGTGCAAATGCATCATACAAGTTCTAACACAACCAATCGCCTCTATCCAATAAACTGCAGCACATTGAAGAGTAAAGTACTGTTTTCATAAAGCACACATTCCACTGCAGCTCCAGACACAGTAAGGCCAAATCTTAAGACATGAGTGACCATCAGAAAAGAAAAACGGCAGCAGTGACACTTCCTACCGCCCTATGCTGGTTTTATAGAAGAAGTCTAATAAAAATGAAAGCATGCAAAAGAACATAGAATAAAATATAAACCAAAAATAATAATAATAATAAATGCCTCTTGAGAAATGTAACACTAGCCTTTGGGCTCAGTACATTTTAAAGGGTTTGTCAACCCTGCAGTTTATAAGGTATTAGAGGAAACAGACTATAAGGTCTCATTGAGCTTCAACTGATATTAGAACCAACATCCCAAACAGCCACTGGTCCATTTCCAATGAGTGGAAGAAAACCTTTGATGCCAAGATGTCATAGCGACAGCGTTATGACATCTTTTTGTGAAAAACAGGTTGAATGGACCAGTGAGGTCCAGTTAAACCAGTTAGCAGGAGATAAAATCCTTATTCTTGAGTTTGGTGATGATGTGGGGATCAGTCTTGCCTCCAGAGCCAAAACATTCAGAGCTGATCTTTGTAGCTCCCACCTCTATCCATCTGCTCTACTTTAACAGAAATTAGAAACCACAGCATGTAACTCTGCAATGAGATATTATTTACAAGATCCCCTTTTTTTAGAAAAAAAAAAATCCCAGTTTACAGCTTTAAATATTCCCAACCGAAAACCTGATTTTATTTTATTTTCTAGTTGGGGCACAATTTTATTTGAAGTCATTGCAAGTGAGCTCATTGTGAAAAGCTCAATAAAACAGATGAAAGTCCACGATTTTTACCAACTTCCAAGTTTTCTGGATGCTGTTGCTAACCTTTTACTGGTGATAAAGTGGAAACACTTTCTTCCTTCGTGGGCGCCACAGACTGTTAGATAAGACAGTTATACTACAATGGAGCCCTAGTAAACTCAGCTTTTATTGCAGTGGCAAAATCTCACAGAGTTATTTTCAAATCCAACCTTTAATTAGTTTATTTTGGTCACTTGATTAAAATATCTATAGTTTAAAAACAAACAGAATTGTTTCTCTTTGGTAATCAGGGGGCGTCTCTTATTGTCCAGTCAAGGACCCGTTTTTAACTTGTAAGGCAACTGCAGCACGTTATTTAGCTGTCTCCATGGCAACTATTAGATGGATCTAATGAAGCCTGGATAGTCATCGCGATTTTGACCCCTGTCAACATCAATCTAAAATGAGAAAGTTAAAATGAAGGAAAACTGTTTGGGAAGAATCTTCAAGCGAGGACTGAACCCGAGATTATCATCATTTTTTCATTTCCATTTTAATGCATGTTTATCGACATTATCGCCACCTGGTGCTGCAGCATAGTTGCTCAACGCTTTTATTGGAATCCAACAGAAGGTGTAGATTAGCATTCAGATAAAAAGTGAAATATGCAAACAGACTGGGGGCCTCATGCATAAAAGAGCGTGCAGCCGTCTCACTAAAACTACGGGGGGAAATGATCTGGTGTTTGTTTTAGTTCACATAGCCTGTGTGTTCGGAACGTCAGTCAGGGAAAAACACTTAGCTGCTCAACTGAGCTTAATTATTGATTCATGCTGATCATTGTAATGTGTAACAAATAGTTTCTAAGGTGTGAATATGACCCTCATGCTTCTATTAGGAACCCCGTCACCACACAAACAAGTGAAGTAAGCCACACTTCATGTTTGAAACTATTCAGTATTTCGCCTTAAAAAGAAAAACAACAAAACAAAAACATATCTATAAAAAAAGAAATAAAAATACATGGCATCCAGGCTTTGAGCGGAGCATGTTCCCACTGTGTCTATTATTTCAAATAGCTAAAGTTATTATAGAGGCTCTGAATGAATCCTGAGTTGAGCCACTGCATTTGTGAGACAACTTTACTCATCAGAAATGCCTGCATAGCTTTGTAATGAAAATGAATGTAACATTTATAAATGCTACATTCACAGATCCTGCCTTATAGCAACTGAGGTTCAGTCATAGCCCTGATTCCCCTCAGATGTCGGCTCCTTCATGCAAATAGGGATTTAATGCCTATTTAAACATATTCTCAGGGGATTTTACACATCTGGGAAACATACAGGTTTGGCTGTCACCATTTTTAGAGTTTTTAAAGTGTGGGTTTAAAAGTTTTGCACACTTTCACCCAATGTTCATTTTCATAGTTTTGGGCTAAACAATGCTCTGCATGTTTATTGTATGCAGACACACTTTATACATAAGGCCCTAAGACTTTTTGTGGAAATAAAAGGATAATTTGGAGAGGATTTCCCACAGACTATTAAGCACAGCAGAGACTTGTCATGCTCTGGGCTTATTTCTCCTGAGAACCCTGTTAAAGTGAATTAAAAATGGACTAAATATGTACTAGCAGCTGCGGTTACTGCAGGTATAGCAGTAAAGGTCTGAATACACCATCTGCATCCGATTCTACAAAGCTCTGATTCATTTTTTATTTGGTGTAGCTTGCTGCTTTTGCTAAAAGGTTTTTGTTTCTATTTATTTGTTTTCTGTTTTTCTAAGCAGCTAACGCAGGTAGGCTCACTGGTTATCGAAATGTCTTAATGATTGCACCGGGAATTCTGACAAGCAACATGTGTGAGCTGCATGATTCTAGACGAACCTATTTGGGGACAAACCTGAACGGTTTAACGTGCGTTTTGGAGATTTATTTTTTTCTATGTTCCCCAAAGTGGACGTTAACTCTGACACGTTTACTTCTAATTGCTGGGTAGCTCGGTATAGAGCCCGGCGTAGAGCCACGCAGCTGCAGAGAATACTGCATGGTCTGCCTGGTCTGTTTTTCTGTTGGATCAGTTGATAAATCAGGTCTGATGCATTTCGGCCTTATCTGTCTTTTTTTTTTGGTTAAAAAAAAAAAAAACTGTTTTTACATTTTCATACTACTGCAATAAAAACTGAATTAACTTTATGGTTATTTCACCCATCTTTACCAGCACCTCAAACAGATTAATACTTTTTAAGTTCCCATTGCACTCTGTTGGAAGTTTTTTTTTTTTTAGATAAAACAGTTTCAGCACTTCTTCCCTTTTGTTTAGGGAGAGATGAACAAATGAGCCAAAAAGCCAGCTGATCAGGACCCCCTTAGACAAAAGCCAAGTCAGTAGTGAAAGTAGAAATGTACTAGTTGTTGGTTTTCTCCCCTCTTTCCTTCAGTGATGGAGGCGTTTCCTGAGGCGGCGGTGCATCAGGCGTGTCTTCGCTCTGATCGGTGGCTTCGGGGGTTTGTGGCTCCGGTTCGGCGGGCGGCTCCTCTGTCTGCGGCTCTGCAGTCTGCGTGGGGTTGATCGGTGCGAGGACTATAGGAGGCTGGGGGAGCAGAAAGTAGGTGTATGAAATAAAATGTCCAAAATGTGATCAGAGTAAATAAGAGAAAAGATACAGGGGGGGAAAAAATGACAGTAATTCCTCTGGCACAATGAAACATCAAACCTTTGTGCTTTAAACTGTGCTCAGAGGTATTGCTGTTGATTGAAAAGCAGAAACTTCCCAGAGATCATCGCTAAAGTAAACATGCAAATCATCTCAGGATAAATTACTCGCTGTTTAACAGGACATAAAAGCTCTATTGCTGAGAAAAATCACAAGAGAAAGAGCGTTTAGATGAGGTAAGCATTATTTAATTCAAAATAAAGTGCCAAGCCCAGATGGAATACCTGCAGTGACATTTGCAGACAGCTGAGCCCTCAGCAGCAGACTACAGCACACCCACAGTCAAATAAAAGGTAAGGGAGGGACAGGGAAACAGAAGGAGGTGGTTGGAATGGGTGGGGCTTACTCAACTTGAAATTCTACTTCACTCTGCTCACTTTTCTTTCTTTTTTTTTTTTTTTAAACAGATTGTTTAATTGTCTGGAGTCTCTTTTTTTTTTGTTCTTCGGCAGTAGGCAGTCATATCAAACTGGTATTCACCACAAATCCACTTCCAGTCCAGAACTGACGCAGCTCCCTGCGCCACAGCGCCACGGTGAGGCTGGTGAGCAGAGTGCAAGGCACCAGGTAGAGCAGGGCCGGCTGGCCCATCTGCATCACCGCCAGGGCCACGAAGGTGATCAGCAGGCCGACGCCGTACGCTGACCGCACAGGAGAGAGAAACAGGAACTTTAATGCAAACCAGGACAGAAAAAAAAGTTCTCCTCTAGCAGTTTGTAAAGTGTTTACTTTGGGGTTGAATGCACAATAATCTGACAAAAATCTTTCTGTTTGTTAATCCAACTCCAGAACCAACCAGAAATGTTGCTGGTTTTCTTGATTCTGCAACCTTTACAATCCAAAGGGCCATTTTCAAATTCACTCACTGTTTCAAGTGAAACAGCCACAACTTAACCTTTTTTAAAAACAAAAACTCCTGCTTTTTCCTATAATGCAGAAAGAACCACCATTTTATTATGTGGTTTTTAGCAAGCTGTTAAAAAACAAACAAAATTATAATTTAATCATTAACCTTTTTTGTTTTAGCCAATCTGATGGTATTGTCTCTGTAAAGTGTGTTTTGAATGGGCACTATAAAAACTCATTGAATTGAATTCAACCTAATTACCAAAAATACATATTACAGGTACTTTTACCATCGTTATTCCTAAAAATTCAATGCAATTATTCCATGAAATAGCCTAAATAAACCTGCAACTGTTACATCTACTTTAAATTGATCATGCTCAGCTGAGGTCATTAGGAGCCACTAGCAGACCCCTGCTCTATAGCCACAGAGAAACCTCCCCCATGTGTCATTCTCCTTCCACTTCATGCTAATTTACGTTTGTGCCAAACAATAAATAAGACAAAGAGTTCAAAGAGGCCCATTTTCAGTAAATCAGACTTATTTAAGACAAAAAGACAGTGGATCTAAACCTCAATGGTGCCTTTAATCCATCTGGATTATTATGATTATAAAACAAGGAGGATCTCTGCTGCCAGAGTCTCCACAGAAACACTTACCGATCGTACAGGCCACAAAGTAGATCCTGGAGGACTGGGTTAAAATGTCAAATCGGTGACAGTATGCCACCAGCAGACCTGAGGAGGGAAACCACAGAATCACTCTCTTCATGTCATTGGTTCAGGCTCGTGAGCTGTAGCTAAAACAAAACTTCATAAATAAAACCCCCACCTGGTACTAAGACGTCCCCAAAGCCAAGGAGGGAGAAGGGCCGGTCACAGAGAGCCAGAGGAGAGGAGTTCAACCTCGGCACTTTGAGCACCATGGGCAGCTGAAGACACAATGACAGAGTTGGTGTTTGCTTCTCTAAGCTGAAAAGGATTTTTTTTTGGGTGGGTGGGCTCACCTTCTCATGTGTGGCGGAGTCTGAGGGGCCAGCCGCCACCTCCACCATAATGCTCTCCCCACTCTGTGAGCAGAAGAAAGGAGGAGGATCAGAACCAAACCTAAAACTCCCTCTAACCTCCCTACAGCTCAGACTCATCTTACCTTTGTAAAGAAGGGTGTAATAAATACGAAGAAAACATCGTAAACAAACAGAACAGACAGCAGTAAAGTGCACGCCTGCCGGGGAAAGAGGGAGAAAGACGAGGTTAGAAGGCGACATGATGCAAAGCCGTTATGGTTGCCATCCAGCAGCTTTGCTTTACCTTGAATGTTGGCAGCCTCACTGTTTTGAGCATGTAGAGACAGAAGGCGATCCCCAGGGCGTCCTGCAACACCCAGGCCCATCTAGGGAAGAAAGCAAGAGCTTATCGGCAGCACCAACACAAGGTTCAAAAAGCAGTTTCTGTGTCTGAGTTAAAGAAGCATTCAAAGATCCTCCGTGTGTCACTAGACTATTAGAAATTCAGCTGTAACATCCAAAAGAACAGCAGCTGTGTGGATTTCTCCTCATTTATCTAACAGGAGTCTGGGTGAACATCCACTGGCTTCAGACTCACTGGTCCTCGTTGCGAAACACCATCCAGATGATGCTGATGGCGATGCAGACGGCCGACAGCAGGAGAGCGCGGATCTGAGGGCGTTTGTGCAGGTACGGCAGGTTGTTCTCCGGGATCCTGTTTTTATTTTAAAGAACAAACATTATTTACATGTCGATTAGTCTCCCTCTAACAGCTAATGTCAGCGTGGGTTTCATTGTCTAATGCAGCCATTAACTGAAGCAGCTGGTTTTGTTTGATGGAAATTCTTTTTTTTGTTGTTTTTACTAAATCCCATCTGTACAATGAAAAAAAAAATCTAATTAAATAAACTTTTTTTCACGTCACAATCCAAACATTAGTGTATTTCATAGACCAACACAAAGTATAGTGTTGCTGTTTGAGGCTATGCAGCTTTCAAAGAACCTCAAAAAAATCTCAGACTTAGTTGATGTTACCTTATTTATCTAATTTAAATTATTAGTATTATTGTCTTATGTTATATCTTTATGCTAAATTTTATTATTTTTCTTTAATTTTGCACATTTCTTTTCCTATGCACTTTGTTTTCAGCTGTTACACTGCAAAAACTATTTAGAAATAAGTAAATATTTGCCAATGGAATGAGTATTTTTACTCTTAAAATAAGATAATTAGATAATATGCGCTTCAAATAAGACAATGCAATTTTTTTTTTTATTTTCAATATAAATTGTCTTGTTCCATCGGACAAGTGCTTCACTTATTTCCTCAGTTCAAGAAAAAAATGCACTTATTCTAACAAAAAATGACTAATTTAGAATTCTACTTTTTGCAGTGTAGCTGTTTTTAAGCACTCTACAAATAAATGAGATGATCATGATGGCATTCGTTCAAAAGAAAGGTGCTAAAACAATTTAAAAATAAAATGGAATTGAAAACCCGGCATCAAAACGAAATAAAAACTCATGAAAAGTTTCAAACTATTGCCAAAAAGGCAGCATCTGATCATTTATTTGGAAAAAGATTCAAACCATGTAAGACTTTGCCTCTACTTCACAGCTATGTATCCCTCTGTGTTGGTCTATTACATTAAATCTAAATGACATGTATTGAAAATGTGGTTTTTAATGTAGCACAATGTGACTCCACTTTAATTAGAAGAGTTTTCTTTTGTCAGCAGAGCATTTTTAACCATCAGTTTAACTGTTATTAAAGCTAGATGTTTCACCTGCACTTGCAGAAAGGAATCCTCCTGACAAAAGGCCACAGACAGCTGTAGAGGCCGACGGAGGAGGCCAAGCAGAAGATGCCGATGACCCAAATGGCTAAAAACATCGGAAATCAGCGACAAAGCAAAGCAGGATCATTAACAGGATGATGGGAACATGCACTTTCCAGGAAGGGGCAAAGCTACTGAATCTCTTTGCATGCTTTCTCTGAATTCTGTCTGTATGTTGCACATACCCAGGTGGTCATAGAAAAAGTAAAGGAGCACCAGCATGTTGCAGCACATGACCACAAACACACAGATCATGATGGGGGTGACGTCCACCGTCTCCTCGTCCTGCTTCTCCGCTCCATCGTCTCGTTTATGCTTCATGTAACGCCTGCAGGACGATCAACAAGAGAAGACTAGTAGGGTGATTAAAGGAGGCCCGAGCTGTGGCTCTATGACCGGAGGGTTGATGGTGCTAAACCATCCAGTCAGCCTGGTGACACCTTCAGTTCTGAGCATCAGAGACCCCGCCCCACCTCATCAAAGAGCAGGTCCGATTGGCTCACAGTTACTAATTAACTTACTTCTTGCGATCTCTGCTGCCGGCCCAGTAGCCTCCGACAGCCACCGTTCCCACAGCCATCAAGAAGATGATCACCATGTTGTAGTCCAACACCGGCTCGTTGGGTGCATACATGGCCACAAGCCTTCCTTTACTAAATGTCTGAGCAAGTTAGAAATAAAGAGGTTTGGGTTGCTAAATCTGATCAAAGCTTTTCACATTTATAAATCATCTTAGATTCCTCACCTTGCTTATGTCCAACATATCAGAGTAGCTCAGCAGAGCCACAGGAATGTCTATCTCCTCATACTGGCTCTTATTTCCAGCTGGTGGTGTCTGTTAATCACACACACACACATATCTTCAGTGGGATGGACTGGGATCTGTTCACAGCACTCTAAGGTTAACTCCTTACCAGCCGGTCCTTGCTGACAATGAGGAGACCCTTGGCACCATTAATCTGGGCCAGGCGAACCTTTTCATAGAAGGTGCAGTTGCCCCTCATCACCATGGGGATGCGGTTTGGGAAGCCTCCCTCTGGCACCTCGGAGGGCGAGCACAGGACCGAAGATGTCAGGTCGTGGATCTGAAGACGGGACTGTGAGGGAGAAAGACTGGAGCGATCAAACACGGCTGGAGGGGACAAAATTCAACTTTGTGATAGCATTAAGACAAAATCTATTCTTCTCCTGCTTTATTCTTGGGAAAAAAATCTATTCAGCTTTTTAATAGAAGGGGAGCGGCGGCCTAGTGGTTACGGCATCCAGAGGTTTTGAATTCAAGCCCCACTCCCACAGACTGCCACTCTAGGTCTCTGAGCAAAGAGCCTTAACCCCACTCTGCTCCCTGGGCGCCGCACAGTAGCAGCCCACTGCTCCCCAAGGCAATGGCTTAAATGCAGAGAGTTAATCCCGTTGTCTGTACTTGTGACAGTGTAATGACAATAAAAGCAGGGGAAAAAATTTGTTCTCTAACAATTCTCCTAAAAATCAGAAATAAAAAGCTTCTTTATGAAACACAAAAGGTTAAATGTTTGCATTCATTTTATTTTCGAAAAACTCCCTGTTATTTGTTGGCTGGAATTAGAGATTTCTATTTTTTTTCTCTCAATAAAATAAAAGGAACTAAAGTATTCATACAGTTTTCATCTAGTTTTCCTTCTCCTTGAAGTATTTTGCAGCTTCTAACATTTTGGGTTTTTACTTCCCTAAGACCGTCCTTGATGTATCTCAATTCGGGAACTCTGACCACTCTCCTTCCTGAAATATACTAACCCACAGCATAATACTGCCACCACTAGGTTTCACTGGGAAGCAAGTGTGGTCAGAAAGTTTAGATTTCTCTTATTTCATATATTAATTGATCTTATTTACTCACTGTCTGTTTCACCTGCAAGGCCACACTATTCCCCTACGTGAGGGTGTTTTTTAGACCAGACTCCCACTACACAGGTTTATTAAGGATACGATTCCTAGAGTGTGAGGCTAGTGGTTTTCTAGTGTAAATTGTGCATCTCAGCAGCTCCTCTAGAGTTGCGCCTCCGTTGAACGTTTTCTCTGCTGCTCCTGCTAATATAGGTGGGCAGTCATTTCATGTAAATTCTGTATTTTTGATATTACACATCTCCTGTTGTGCAACAAACCTTTGAGGGTCACAGATCAGCTGTACTCGTACTGAGATTATTAGTAGGTTTACTCATCAGGCCACTTCTGAAGGCATTTGGTTGCAAAGAAATTATTTTTTACTAAAGAGGATTTTATATCAGAAAAATGTGGTGTAGATAAAAATGCTGGTCAAAGTTTTCAGATTATTATTTGTAATAAGTTTTTGCTATTAATCACAAACCGTGAATGTTTCCTTTCAACTTTCCAATTACCCGCCACTTTGTGTCGGTCTCATCACATTCTATACATTAACATTTGTCTATGAAACATGATGAAATGTAAAAAAAAAAAAAAAAGCTTCAAGGGGTTGTGTCACATACTTATCATAAAACTAATAAAAACCAGGGGACTTACTGCTTTATTGAGGTCCTGAGGTAGACGCGCCCACTGTGAGTTGAAGAATATGCAGTAGTCCTTCCCATTACTTTTACCTGTCTCACTGAAATGAGCCATGCCATACTCCCCCACCACCTATAAACAGAAAAACAATGTTTTCTATGTTCTTTTCATTTTATGAATTGGCATAAATATATAGAACAAAAAAATGTGTTATCTATAAAAGAGCCATAATTAACTAAGACAATGTGGCTGGCTGGATGGCTGGGTGGATGGATGGATGGATGGATGGATGGGTGGATGGATGGATGGAGGGAGGGATGGATGGGTGGATGGATGGAGGGAGGGATGGATGGGTGGGTGGATGAGTGGAGGGTTGGATGGATGGATGGATGGATGAATGGATGGATGGATGAATGGATGGATGGATGAGTGGAGGGATAGATGGAGGGGTGGATGGATGGATGGATGGATGGATGGATGGATGGATGGATGGATGGATG